TGAAGGTGCACCCCAAAAAGAAAAGAAAAAAGACTCCGAGCCGGCTTGGAAGAGACTTTGCTTATTATGCCTCTTGTCTTCGTCGTGCATATCTAGTGCTCCGAGGCATTTCCGCTTTGGGAAACATTGCGAATGATAGTCATAGTCAAGAGCCTCTTTTGGTCCATGGTGAAAGGGGTCGTCAATCTATGGGTAGAGGAAACATGGGTGGAATATTGAATACTGCATTTCGCCTTGTGGGAAAGAACTGCAACAGCCTCATGGACATTGTCCAATCGCAGCTCATCTGCAGATAGACTTTGGGAAAGGATGAGAGAAGAGAAAAAGCAAAAAGCGACCCATGTTGTTTCGGCTGGCGGGGAGAGCGTATGTGGCAAAGTCAGGTTAATGCTATTGGAAGGATGCAAGAGAGTTGCCGTGCTGACTACGATATTGGTCATGTTTCTACTAATTATCCCCCATCCCAAAGAGGATAATGAATCTGTAAATTTTGTAGTGGTTGTGACTTCTGATCAAACGAAAAAGTGCCACGCATTTTGTGATACGTACTCATACCAGGTCGTCTTTACGAGAAGAAAAGGAAGCAGCCCTGTTCGGGGGTAATGGGAAAAAGCAACAAAGCAAGCAGCAAAAGGAATGCAGGACGGAGGGGGATCAAAAAGCTATACTGACTTTGATTGGCTACTGCTCGGGTTTACTGAGTGCAGATCTCAGAGTCCAGAACAACCACAAAGGATGGAGAGAGTGCAAGTTAGCAAGATGCGATCTGCGATCTCTCAAAAGACAAGATGAGGAGATGGGGCATAGATGGGACATTGACGCGGGGCCCAACAGAAGAGCTGACAATGAGCCATACCAGCAGCCCTCCCAGCGGATCTCATCTAATTAATTCCAGCTTGTTTGCCTGCCCCGTCCCATTGCGTCCCTGGGCTTGTTCTACATCGCAAGCAATAGGCAGTCTGGGCATAGTAGCGCCCATCTTTTTGTCTTTGCCCTGGGCCAAGCTAAGAGCAATATCAAGGTTGAAGCTATCGCGGAATAGTGCGCTATGGGAGGGGAAAATATTAGCCAGTCGATCATCGGGGGGAAAGGCGGAACTGGGGTTGTTCTTAACTCGAATGGGAAAGATACATATGTGCGCGATGAGATCTATGTCTCCGTTCCCTTCCTGCACCGAGCCGAGATGGTAGACCAGCCGCTAGTAAAGATCGCCAACACGGCTCGAGCCCTCTTAGCGTTGCGGAAGTACTCGCAAAGTACTCTATTGCTCTCTGAAAGCTGTATATTCTGAAAGCGTAACAGAGCTAGGCGACTTGGTGTGTCGAGGTAACAGTACTGCGTAACGCAACAGTATAGCTGTCTGTTCCACGGAACGAGATCGAGAAATATAGCGTTGACTGTTGAGCCAGGTGAAGGTGATGAAAGCAAGTCGAATTATCATATCAAAATGTGCTGTATAGTCTCTGTATATCTATGTCGAGTTGCTCTCTACCGCTTGGAACCGCCACAACCTCCCCTGAAACCGTTCAGCAGTCGGTCCAGATTAGGAACATCTAGCCCATCCCACCCTCTGCCGACCTGCTCCCTGTCACTAATGTCAATGACAGCTTCAATGAGGCTCTTGTTGATCTCATCATCAACGACACTGTCGTGCTTGTAGGCAGGATGCTTGTCCACAAAGTCCCGAATCCATTTCGCCGCCGTCCAGAGTTCGCCACTGGCACGCCGGCGGATGAGGTTCAAGTACGTGTCGAGCTCGCACCGCGTCTGCACGTCCACGTTGACCGAGTCCAGATAGCTCTCGACAATGGGGATCAGACCGGGGAAGTCGTGCTCGTCCGAGGTGGAGCCGTTGATCACCTCATTGATGGTCATCAAGGCGTACTCGTCCTCGACGGGACCCGTAGGCGTCGGCGGCCGGCTGATCATGGGCGTGCTCGTCCCCGAGCCCATGGCGCTCCGCGTCGGCCGGGTAGGAAAGGGATTCTTGCGGAAATAGAACTTCTTTTCTAGCACGGCATCCCGTGCGTGAGCTGTCTCCATGCCCTCATCGACTTTGGCAATGGGGATATAAAAGTTTAGATCAAAGGAGAGAATGGCCCGCGTAATGAGGACCATGAAAACGGCAAAGGCTGCGTTCTCGAAATCGGTAATCTGTATCTCCATCGGTCTAAACTCGACACGCCAGCCAATATCGCTGCCTGCCGGTGGGGGCTTGAAACGCATATGTTGCCAGTTGGTGGACTGAATGTTCTCAAAGTGATCGGCCTTGGTCATATCCAACTCCTTGAGGTCCTCATTGAAAATAACGATTGGATCACGAATGAAGAGATGAGCAAAGTGGGTTGCCAGGCGATCATCCATGCCTCCATCCATGAGTTGTTGCTTGATATCGTGGTCGATGACAAGATTGGGGTCCATGTACTCTGGTCTCAGTCGACTGTCTGTCGAGATATACGTCGAGTTTGACGCATAGCGCGACTTTGGTATCCTCCATCTACTGTCTTTCAGGGGCTACACCGTCTTATGTTAGTCATCTGGATCAAACATGTCGCAAACACGTGTACACACCTTTTCTCCAAGTTCCTCCTCTGTGCGGTCGTCAACGGCTCGACTGATTTGATTCCAGCGGACATCAGTGTCGGCGAGAAAGCCCTTGTATATAGGCGTCGCAGCCGTTAGAGCCAACATGATTGGGCCAAGAGGGCTCAACTGATCATACATTTTCCGGCCTTCGGTGATGTTCTTGGCTTGGAAGGTTATTTGCAAGCAGCAACTTCCCATACCGAACGCCATAGCATCCATGTGAATAAAGTTGTCTGGACTGGCACCATTCCGAACATCGTCGTCTTCTGGCCAGTTGTGCAAATCATAATTGACGGTTGGGTCTTTCCAGGGGTTTGACGTGTTCTTGTCATGGAACACTGGCACATTTACCTGAACCTTTTTGCCTCGCCTCCAACGGATATTGGCGGCCAAAGTCGGGAATCGAATGTGGGGATTGGCAATTTCATCCGGAACAAATTGCGAACGCAGCTTTGATCCTGAGGGGGGATAGTGAGGCTCTGTAAACACGCCCGGGACACCCAACCGGGGGAACGTGGTGAGCGTGATTGGGTACTCGTTAGACTTCATATGGTCCTTTGCAATTCTCCTCCTAAAAGGGGTCAGCAGGGAATCTCAAATGGACAAAAGCGGTATAATATATACCTGAGCTTCATATCCGGCTCCACGTCCAGCAGTTCCTTGAATCCTATTCCCCAGGGCTTGCCCGGTGTGGCCTCGAGCATGAATCTACCAAACTCAGGGTGGAAGACCGGGAGAGGATTCGACCTTGTCAAACTTAGCAGGGACGTCAATGCGATGGAGACCAACAGTTGTTAGCTTACTGTTGTTTCTGGTCTTGAATGGCTGGCACACCACCACCCTTTGCTGCCAGTTCCTCGTCGGCGGCCAATGCCTTCAAAATATCTGCTTGACGGAGCGAGAGAAGGACTTTTGGATCATCCTTTTCGTATGTCACAACCAGGTATTCGACCTGAAGGGATGTGAGAACAATCTACAATAGCAGGCGAACACACAGTCTATTCTTACCTCGTCACCCCAGAGCATGGCATCTCGCTCCTTGTGCTTGGCCTTATTCCAGATCTCAAGCAATTGCTGTCCTAATTATCAGCTTCATCCGATTTGGCGAACATCATGACGCTGCAGCCGCATACCTTGATACCCCATTCCCTGACCTGATGCGCATGTGTTTTGGCGTCTGGCCAATCCAGAGCCGTGCCGAGCGCACTATACACGCAGTGTTAGCAAATCTGTGTCACCTTGAGGCTCGTGGGTCGGGGGGAGCGCATATGGCTGGCGACGTACAGCAAACCCATTGTGATTTCTCCGTAGCGGAACGGTGCTCCGAGTATACCTGTATTTCGAGTCTATAAGGGCTTGACAACTTTGGCTAGCCGCTGCCCGTTTTTGCTGCGGTGATAAAGCGACTGGCTTGGCGTTTTGTGCGGGCGTGAGGTTTTGTGCTAAATCTGCGACAATTTTGCCTGACAGAAGTCAATCGCCAGAGTTGCGGCCAATATTACCGGTAGCGTAACGCCTGGCACAGAGTAAGGTTATAACTGTTGCTATGTAACGGCGATTGCCCACCCACGGGGTTGATGACAAAACTCTGACGCGGAGTCACCCGGATGACTGCGGAGGTTCGATAGTCGGGCGTTCCCAGTTTTTTCCCCGATAGACACTTTGGTGCTAAAGGAAAAAAAAAAAAGATAGATCCACGATCCAGCTTTCCCTCGCTTTATCAATGGGGGAGGAAATGTCCGCAGGCCCGCTGACTTATCAAGCTTCTAAGACTCGCCAGATCCTCGTTATGAACGATGATGGATCTGTAACCCCCAGCCTGACGATGGCGAGCGCACAAATTGGAGAGCCCCCACGTTGCGCAGCTTGGTTCTCTGCTGAGGCACGGCCAGAATCATGTGCAGTGCGCACGAATCAAGTAATAGAAACCAGGTTGAGGTAGGTTCTAGGTTGGCGATAACACCTCCGCGCCAAAGCACGTAATGTTCTGGGTCCGTGACTGGTCGGGATACTCGCGGCTGGCCGTATAATCTACAACGTTTGGGTTGTGCTCCCGCGGGTTGCGAGGACTTATTAAGCTGTGAGTATATCTGATGAGAACTTTTGTGTTGATGACCCCTCTATGAAGAAGTACGATGCTTCATCTTGATTTAATTTTTTTCCCCCTCCGCCCTATGGACTCTCTTTTCTCCTACAACGGTCACCAAGTGTGGGGTCAAGGGCGCGTTGTTGTTAGGGACTAATGAGCTACTGCTTAGAAATACAATTACCTCAGTGCATCTGGCTGCATTGAGAGGAGCCTTTTTTCTCACGACCAGGCCTGGCCCGACTCCGAAGTTAGGCGGATCGCGGCTTTCATAGGCAAGCCTCGAAGGCTTTTTCTTTCTTCTTTGGAAGCCAGCTAACGGTGGCTCCGGCACTGACCGGCCGTCGGCCTCCCAATAGTCGTGCATGACATGCAGCGGCTGTATGTCGCAGTTACTGGGGCGTCCAAGGTATGTCTGGGTAAGGTTGTAGGTAGTCTCTAGCCTCCAACTACACCAACCGCGAGCTTGGGTAAGGAACCGATTGTTACCTCGACATATGGAGCCACCAAAACGGCAACCATTCCGCATTACTTGTTGTTCCGTGCTGTCCATGCGTGCCAAGACGGTTGTCATGGTATGTCAATACCGAGCAAAGAGTGAGGCTCTTACAAACAGGTTTACTAATCAACGAATTAATAAAGACAGTAACAGCACATGCCATTCCACCATAGGCCAATACGCTACTCACATGTTCCTATCAGATGGGTTTCACAGGAAAAATAATGCTGACATTTCCACGAGTCAACAAAATCTTCACCGATATTTTGATTATCAGACGGGTATTTTGAGTTGATATTGCAACACCAAGGCGTCCAAGTTTACACACCGCTCGCTATGCATTCATTAGAACAAACATTCCCTGACCTTTCCCTTGCCCCCGAGCTCATATTCGATCCATCGTCCGACGCCTCTACGCCCAGCCACAAGTACTGTCCCTGGATTCATGACATGACACCCTTCATATGTGACACAAAACGGTGGTGCCGTTGCATCCACCAATATCATGGCCGTGGGTAATGGATAAAGGTGAAGGGCAGATGCATAATCCCAATGCACTGGCCGGATCTGCTGCCGGAATGGCGTGAGATATCCTTGATCCAAAAGCGTTTTGACCAATTTCCGTGCTGCTTGCACGTCGTGTGCTATCTCGGGCCTCGCAGATTGGGGCGCTGCATCAATGTCCATAGCCTCAACGGCGGTTTCCTGGTCTTGCAGTGTACTTGTCATATCAACATCTTCGGCTGTCTCTTGTGGTGGTGCTACATTTTCCTGGTCTTCAAAGTTGGATTTGGACGACTTGAGGCGCACCGCTGTTCGACGAAGACGCGCAGACATATCATCTCGGAAGATGACAAGCTCGTGGGATGGCCCGAAGACCGTGAGCCTCGCTGGGTTGGAAGTCCACACGGCTTCTCCCCCTTTCTTGACTCCTGCCTCCGCGTTTGCCGCAACAAAGGCCCTGCGAATGCGCGAAGTGAACATGTCGGGAACAGACTTGCGCGGCAATGGCACAGCAGCTCCCGCAGAGAATGAAGAAGCCCAGCCATCATTATCCCCCGGGACGAAGACGAAATTGGCCGTTTGTAGAAGAGTAGGAAAGTCCGATAGTACGGACGCCAAGGAATCGAAATATTCCTTGTATTCCACACTACCGCCACTGCTCCCGCCGCCGGCCATTACAGCGTGTTGAGTAAAGTTTCCAGTTAGGACAAATGCCATGGGAGATGTGCCCTCGGGTTCCGATGCATATATCGTCAAGATCTTGTGGAGCGCTTGCAAAGCACGCGGTTGGTCAAGATTGAGTTCGCCCAAAATGACGACCCGATCACGACTTGGGGAATCATGATCTTCCGATATGTGTCGCAGAATCCGTTGTTGGACCTTTCGCATTTTTGAACCAACTGCGCGTTCACTGCCCACGCCGAGGAAATCGATCCACCCAAAGCCACCGCCGATTGTATGATCCAGGCCGCCTTCTGGTCCACTTACACCTAGTGTCACTTTTCGCTTTTCACAAGGTGGTTGGCCTATGAAGAATCCTTGAAACCTGCCGCCAATGATGCCACCAATGCCATTGCTCGCACCCAGGCCTTTACCAATCGATTCTTCTTCTTCCTCGTAGATGCCGTCTACTAGGACAATCATCCCTGGTGTAAACCATGCAGAATCCTCAGGCACGGATTGTGCTTGTGAAAGGTCAAGAGATATTGTTCCGGTTAGGTCGCTGATGGTTAGCGTGCCCGTAGGGGATACCGACAAGAGCCCAAGCAGCATATGGTGGCTACCATGGCGACCTAGAAGATTTGCGATTGGTGTGATCTTGTATGTTTGCTGTGCTGTGACTACAGATGAGGATGCGCGTTTCAAAGAGGGCGGACCCGCCTTTGCCGTTGCGACGGCTGAAGTCTGAAAGGATTCGTTCCGTAGGAGTCTTTGGTGAATAACATTATATCTGTTTCTGAAAAGAGCCGTTTTGTGGGAAGCCGAGGGCATTAATGAAGGTTTTGTTGGATCCCTCTCAAAGTGCTTCTTGGACACATTGTAAACCATTCGAGGCTGATCGTATGCGTTGATAACCTTGGTCCAGTCTCTTGGGTCGTTCAGTCCGTCCTCATCCTCGTTCTCGTTCTGCTCCATCTCCAGTGCGCTTATGCCAAAGCTTCGATTGCTGTCATCCCGTGCGAGGGTGGCAGGGCGTATGCCAAGTCTTGTGTTGGACAAGTCGGCCTCATCGAGGGCCTCGATCGTCAGACTGTTTTTCCGGGCCAGGTCGCCGCCTGTTGTAATTCTGCCTCCGCTCATGTTACCCTCGAGTGTCTTTAGGATATCCTTGAGCTCCTTGCTGGTGCCATCAACGATGACGCCGCCATTACGGTTCTTCCAGGATCTTGCTACCTCTTCAAGCACCTTCTCTGCCAGCCCCTCCTCGCGCCATCCTGAACCGCAGTGCCGTCCTATGAAAGTCGCTAGTTCTTGTAATGCGGACGACGTCAATGTAAGACTATGTTTCTTGGTAAAAGTCCTGAAAGCCAGCGGTCTCAGAGTCGCGGGAGGGAGAAGAATGGGTAGAATTGTCGCCTTGGCGGGTGCGGCGGAGAAAGGCTTTAATGTTGCCTGGGGAGTCGCAAATGCGGGTGACGACGAGGGTATCGGATTTGAGGCCTTGGGATTTGGTGTTCTTGCAGCGAAGATTGGCGCTGCCTGAGGTTTTCGCGGCTGCATTTTGTTGACGATTTTTGGTTTATTTGACCTTTATCCTCAACTACAGCATCAAGTGCCAATTGTTTAGGATCCGAAGCAGTAATGCTTTGGTGATGCTGTGACTGCTGAGTTGCAAGTCACCTTTTGACAGTTTACTTGAAATAATAATATTACGCGTTGCAAAAGACGCGACTCTTACATGCAGCGCGTAAATTGGCTAGAAAATCCCCCACCACAACAGGGCCTTTTTGGGGCCAGGATCCTTGTCAGCAGCTACCTGGATGCTGTAGCCCCGATCCTTGCAGCGTCTTGTACCGACACATGCCACTGTAAATATCGATGTAGCCAGTGGGGCACTTCATCGACGTCAGGGCACGCTTCGAGACTTTTTAGTGATAAGATAGAGCTTCCAGCGCGACAGCTTCAGCTTTTGAGCTTCCCAGTCGTCACTACTACCAGCTCCCGCAATGTTGCTGACACGACTTCGAGCAGCCCCGGCTCTGAGGAGTCTTCATGGTCACCGTCTTGTTTCGACATTGTCAAAGAACCCGTTTATTGTCAGTATTACGCCCATGGATTGAATGATCTAGGCCTTTGCATCGCAATTCTCACCCACGTCCAGAAAGTCTTTCCCAATGCTACCTTGGACAACCGTCATATTCTTACCTACCTGGATGCTCAACCACCATCTACAGATCTTGCGATAGGGACGTCGACAGAAAACCCGCCCACGCCGCAGTCATTCTCCGAAAACCACAAATTCCTCAAGATTCTATACGATGTTCTTGCAGAGCACGCCGCTCAAGACCCTCTCCTCCAGAGCCAAGCGCAAGCGTTCGCGGGCCCAGGCGGCATGACATTTGGTGCCGGTGGAGGAGTCTTTCATCAACAGACTTCAAAACGCTCCTCCCGAGGCAAACATGCCGCCGATTCTGGCGCTGGTGGCGCGAGTGCCCAAGGGGGAGCCGGAGGTGGTGGAGTGGGCGGTTACGTGCATCTATCGGACCTGCGAAATCCACCAGACTTTGGGAGGATAGCTGTAAGTATACTCCTCTTTGAAATATCTGTATATGAGAATAGTCCAGACACGCAATCAGTGGCTCTTTCGTGGTCCGATACCGTGATCCAAGGCAAGAGCCCGAAAGCAAACGCTCCAAGCCTCTCGTGTACTAGCAAGCGGAACATTAACATGAAGACTTACAGTGGCCCGAGGACATCATGGGAAGTATTGAAGTAGACGGTCATGGGCAGATTGTTGGAAAGTTCGAACCCAGTGGAACCTATCGGATTGTAACCAACGAGGGCATGTAAGTATATCTGGGTGAGGGCCGCTCTGACCTCAAAACCCACACAAGGACGCTGGATGAAGCTCACTGACATATTCGTATCATCAGTCTTGGCCTTAGTGACTTTCTGAGAAATAAACTCATTGACCGACTCAGGGAAGAAGAAAGGAAGATCTAGGTAGGTTGGCATATCGACTAGAGAAGGCTACCTGCGGCCAGTGCTTTGTAATATTGCACCTGTATATTCCGAAGAATTTACTTACCGTGTGTAAATTGCCTAATACCATCGCTCGCTGCGGATCACGTTTTCAAGATGGCAGACATCTTCTATAGGATGATGTTTTGTGACGCGGCAGAAGGCTGTTCTGTTGGCAAAGGTCAGTTTAGTGATATTTATTGGTGCCACGAGGCACTCGTGCAGTCTATACGGAATACTTGGCAATTGTATCATATTATTTTATTTGCCATTTCGTGGCGTCTCGTAATACTCCATCTGCGTACACGAGCATCCATGTTTCACTTGCTTCTGACACGGTGTCAATTTGGCCGTGCAAATCTATTCTCAAGTACACAAACATGCAGGTTCCTACATCATCTGGCAGCTAGAGAAGAGAAGAGCATAATATCCATAACCGCAGTGTTCAGTCAGAAGTCACGAATGCTTGCGATGCCAGGTATGTCAGTCAGGGCGAACAAAGCACGTCAGCTCACAGTAGGTATCTACATTAGTATGTACCTGCTTATTAACTGATGCACTCCAATACTTGCCCCTTCTCGCTGTGCAAATATTGAATTCAGTATTCGCGATATATCACCATTATGAGGATGGAGGGCGGCTAATGAGCAATTTGCAAATTGCTTTCTACTATGTACAAGATCGTTGCGTATTTTGGTCTAGAGATCACTGATGTGTAATTTTTAGTACAGAACGTCCTTGCAGCCCATGAACTGGTTGCGTTCCATTGCAGGTCCCAATTACCTTCACTTTGGTCCACTAGGTACATCAAGGTAGCCAAGGTGAGTGCTTGCTCGGCAGCGCTTGTGGTAATACAACCCTCCGGTGGCTACATGACCATTGCCAGCTAATAGTACATTAAGCTCCTGCTCACCACTCGAACCTAGAACCTCGGTCATCAAGCTGTCCACTACTGTTATCTAGGTATCTCGCGCCCCTCCACATCCCATCACACTTTCAGCTAAGGCACCAATTTCTCCAAAACCACATTGACTGCGACTATTACGTACCTTGGCGTCCACGCAGCTCGAGCTGAAGTGCTCAGTGCTGTCCGTCTATTAGTTTTCCACAGACCTTTTCATTGAGTCTGCAAAGCATTATAGCTCCTTTTGGTGCTCCGCCGTATTGGGATCTGGTGATCTGCTCTCTTTGCAGCGATACGGAGTGTAGCTCAACCTCGATTACCATTTCGGTAATCTGCCCCGAGGCCCCGAGTCAAGCGAACTTTTTTGCACTCCACACACTGCGGAGAGAGTGCTGGGTGGATTGGACCAGACAAGCGGGCAGCAATTCATCGGGCAGCGGGTTCGTTATTGCTGGGGTCAGTACCAAAGGCCTGGCGACATCTTACTCACTGTAGCCAATCCTGCCCCCCTACCTAACCCATCAGCCGCCCTGGTCGCCCGTCCACTGCAACAGCCGTGCCCCTCGCCGACTGCTTGCTCCATCAGGACCTGGAGCTTCCCTTGACGAAGAAGAGACCGCCCACGACATCCAAATCTTGATACGTACCTCTGCTCAGAAGCTTCGTCTGGCTGTCGCTGCGACAGCTTGTACAGTTTACGACGCCGCAGCCCGCCCTGGCTTACTGTTCAGCAGACATGGCCACCAGACCCTACGACGAGGAGGAACTCTCCATCTCCCTGTCGCCCTCACAGATTCGACGTCGAGTCCCCGAGATCAACGTCACCCCGACGACATCCGATCCTAACAATGGCAAACAACGAGCAAGCGACCATGCCAGCACCGCCGTCCCAACCCATCGCGAGAAGGGAAGGACGGAACAGCGTGTCGGCCAGTACAACATCATTCGCACTCTTGGAGAGGGTTCTTTTGGCAAGGTCAAACTCGCTGTACACAGGAGCACTGGGCAGCAAGTTGCTCTCAAGATCATATCTCGCAAAAAGCTCATCAGTCGAGACATGGTCGGTCGTGTCGAACGAGAGATCGAGTATCTGCAGTTGCTCAGACATCCCCATATTATCAAGCTCTACACTGTGATCAAGACGAGTGCTGAGATTATCATGGTCCTCGAGTACGCAGGCGGTGAGCTGTTCGACTACATCGTCTCCCACGGGAGAATGCAAGAGGACAAAGCCCGGCGATTCTTCCAACAGATGATATGCGCTGTTGAATATTGTCACAGACACAAAGTTGTGCATCGTGATTTGAAACCTGAAAATCTACTCCTGGATGACAACCTCAACGTTAAGATTGCCGATTTCGGTCTCAGCAACATCATGACAGACGGTAACTTCCTCAAGACAAGCTGTGGTAGCCCCAACTATGCAGCCCCCGAAGTCATCAGCGGAAAGCTGTATGCAGGCCCGGAAGTGGATGTCTGGAGCTGCGGTGTCATCCTCTATGTCCTGCTCATCGGTCGGCTACCATTCGATGATGACCATATCCCCAGTCTCTTCGCAAAGATCCAGCGTGGTGTTTTCAATATTCCGTCCTGGTGTCCCGTAGGAGCGGCCAACATGATTAGAAAGATGTTGGTGGTGAACCCCCTGACAAGAGCAACCATTGAGGAGATTCGACAAGATCCATGGTTCGCACACGAGCTGCCGTCGTATCTAGCACCCCCGCTTGAGGAATTCCTCAACACCGGTGTCGACCCTAACAAGGCCATCAACCCAAGTGATATTGCTCCGCATGCCCCTCAGAAGGTCCAGGAGAAGTTGCACAATGAAGTCACTGAAAAGATCAGCAAGACAATGGGCTACGGCAAGCGAGACGTTGAAGAAGCCCTCGGTGCAGACGAACCCTCGGCGATTAAAGACGCATACATGATTGTACGCGAGAACAAGCTTATGCAAGTAAATCGTAAGTCAAGCCAAGTCCATTGTTATCCTAGGCGGAGTTTGTTTGTGAGATGCGATTTTATTTTTGTTTTGAAATTGCCGAAAATAGTGGCGACGTCTTATTCTACCCGTGAATACGTGCTCGAGAGTTCCGCATATATATTCATTGGCTGCTATGTTCGCGCTTTTACTATACACGGTTGGGCTTCAAGCTAAGATTATTATTGCCTACAGCCGCCTATGGCACTGGGAATGACAACCCATATTTCGCATCATCGCCGCCTACTACAAATCACGAGGAACATGCCGGCAGCCTGAACTCAGCGATGCAAGATGCATCCCTCAAAGACAATGAATTTGACTCTGCGGCCAGTCCCCTTGCAGATTCGACACGGTCGAATGCATCGACTATTACGAGCACATCACCACGTGGATATGTCAGTAAAATTGGTATACTACCTACTAGTCTACCAGCCTTGCACAAGGAGGCCCTGGATCGCCACAATGCCGGTGATGAAGAGGCGCATGAGGACCAGCCTCTTCCCGATCTTCCATCTCATCCAAGGACCCCAGCTGAGCATCAGGAGGCAATCCGCCGACTCAAGCCACACTCCAAAGGCAGTGTCAGACTTGATGATAGTCAGAGTCGCCCGGCTCCCATGACTCCTGTTGTGCAGAAAAAGAATAAGCCTGTGCGTTGGCAATTCGGCATACGCTCTAGAAATGCGCCCTGGGAAGCGCTGCTCTGCATCTACAAAGCACTCCACAAGTTGAACGCAACTTGGGTGGTGAACGAGGATTATGATGAGGTCCATGGTCCAGAAAATGAGCAGTGAGTTCCATCCCTCTCATGTTGCCTAATCACACGGTGCTAATTTATTCAGGAGGTCCAAAAGGGCACAGGCACCTAATCCATATGAAGGAATGAAGCCCGAGGACATCGACCTAGCTACGTTCAAACCTACCAAATACTACAAGCTTCCGGCAGATCCTTGGCATATTGTATGTCGTTGGACTAAGCAAGGTATGTCATTCAGGCGAGACGTTCTGTTGAACAACATTCTAAATTCCACAGATATGAAAAAGCACATGCCCTCCGATGGCGATGACAATGCCCATATTGTTTCCGTGCTTGACAACCGCAAGCAGGACTTTGTCAATATGCACATGGAGATTCAAATTTACGAGATGGAATATGGGGTCTACCTAGTTGACTTCAAATGCAGCGGCTACGAGCGACCTGACGGGACCATGCTCGAGGAAAAGGACGTCATGAGTCCTTTCCCGTTCTTAGACATGGCAGCCAAGCTCATTATCCAGCTTGCAGAAGCAGACTAAGCTGCCAATGCCGACAAGTTTCAAAGCCAATTGCGCAGGCTCTGTCTCGAACGCCTCGGCATATCGGCAGACACAACAGATCGTTGCAGAATATATGATGAAGCTCTGAGGATCTTGGCCTGTCGACAAGGACTTGTGCTACTGTGTGGCGCGCTATTAACTCTTTGGAGTGCGCGCTTCATGGTGATTAAAGCAGTTCCATGAACGCCATGACTGAGTGAATTTCGAGAGTCACAAAGGAAACGCTGGACCGCCATGGACGGCTTGTTGAGGACTATCTTACTTGTCAAAATTAGTCCAACAGAAGCGCCGTGTCGCCAGACTCTTGAAATCTCGACGGGTTTGACGGCGAGCTACTCAGCGTCTCATTGATGTGGCCCGTCTGTGCCTGAAGCTTCACAAAACTACAAGGTCCACGAAGCCCTGACTCACTCCGAACAACAACTTCAATACGAATAGGATAAGTCTGGCTGTAAAATGCCAATGGCACTGCTACATCTCTACTCAGCTCCGGGAATCCCGAGGTCATGAACGATGGCAATCCAGGGATAAGCAGGTCTGCTTTCCGACCGGTGGTAGGTGTGCGATGCTGATGGTGCTTGTAATTGGATCATAGCAATTATTGAGCGCACCGCACAATGATTTTGGCAAGTCGATGCATTTGGTGGTATGAGGGAAATGGTTTCAATGCGTTTGGAGTTCTCCAGGAATGTGAAGGTAATACGGTGGGGTCTGCTACGTATACCCAAGGAAGCCACTGTTTAGTTGCTTCAGTAATCAGAAGCCGAAATAATAATGGTTCTAAGCATATATAAATTGTGTATGTACATCAGTTCTTTTGGCAACAGGATTCATACGCCTAGATGCGAAATCATCAATTCTTGAATCAATCATCCATCAAAGCTCTCTTCAATTGTGCCTTTTGAGGTGCATGTGAGAGTGAGATATGGGCAGATATCCTTGGCCGCCTTGAGAAGTCGTGACCAGTTAATGGGCCTTTATACAGCAAGATGATTGGACTTGATATTTGAGCATTACGTGCATGGCTTCTGGTTATGGCTGGATTTACTTGGTGTCACGGAGCAACCTCAGGACGTCAGAAACGAGGTATAGACTACCAGCAATGACAAGTGGCCCTCCACTCGCGGTACTGGTCGCCCATTGCAGTGCATCATGAAGGTTGGTGCCTGAATCATGCTGCAGGGCTGGATTATGAGAAGCTGCACTGTTCAAGATGGCACTCGTCTTCATCGGCTGTACCCACGGCATGCCATCTACCGGGCCAAACTCTACAGCGGCAACATTATCACCAGAGCGTATGAGTAATTGCATGATCTCAGTCAGGCCTTTTCCCTGAGACGCAGCAAGAACCCATGTTACAGGCTTTGCCGCAGAATTGCCTCTTAAATGACGGTCAACGTACCCTGCCAGGACCTCGGCAGATTGTGGATTGTGGGCACCGTCGAGAAGGGCATGCTCCTCGCGGTCAGTGAGAGACTTGATCTGGACAAGCTGTAGTCGGCCGGGCCATGAAATATTCCTTGCAGCAGATATCAGAATATCTGAAGCATGAGCGTATTGAGGAAAGGCAGCTCGAAAAGCTTCATGAGCGACTGCGAGATTCTGTTTCTGATGTGGTTCTAGATGCTCTTGCAATGCCGCCACAACTGGACTTGACTCGGAGGTTACGACTTTAAGGCTGGCGCCGACTTCCTGGCCATGCGTTCTGAAGACATCAAGAACAGATTGAGGATTACTGGCGTCAGCCACACAAGGAACTCCGGGGCGCATTATACCGGCCTTTTGCAAGGCAATGTCGGGCAGTGTGTCACCGAGCAGGAACTGGTGATCCAGGCCGATCTTGGAGAGTACGGTCACAGTCTTGTGCTTCAGGACGTTGGTGGCATCGAGCCTCCCACCAAGGCCGACCTCAACTACACCCACCTGGACCTTTTCGGCCTCGAAGATCTCAAAGGCGGTTGCCGTGAGCAGTTCAAACTCGGTGGCATCGACCTGCCAATCCGTGTTCCGCTGCTTGACCAGGTCCTCGTAGTGGCGAAACACAGACTCCGGGACAGCCTTGTCGTTGATGGAGATGCAATCCCACCTGTCGATGAGGTGAGGCGAGGTGAACTTGGCACAGGTGATGTTGTTGGCACGCAGCATGGCCGTGAGATAGGCACATATCGAGCCTTTGCCATTTGTGCCAGCAACGTGTATGGCCTTCCACGTCTGCGGCGTGCTCTGCAGGAGCTTCTGGACCCTGGCCAGACCCAGCTCAATCATGCTGGGTAGGGGGATGTGTGGCAAATAAGCTTGGCGGTCTTATGTACGGAGGAGCCTGGACCAGTACACAGGATAGAGAAGAAAGCGTTTGTTTCGTTTATTGTTGTTTGTAGTTTATACTGTGGACCGGGGACAAATTGTGAATGTGCCCCTGCTCATGCTTGAGTCATCCAACAAGCGGCCAGAAGTGTACGGCTTGGTTTGTTTCTGTGCATCCCCCGAGCAACAGTTATCGTGGGCTGATAGCCTGTGGTTCCGCTCTAGCTCGCGAGCAGGCTGACTTGCACTTGTATCAGGTCGGCCTTGCACCATGGCTGGCCAGTCAGAAGCCTGGAACGCGCGACAGGGACCACAGAGGACGTGCCAGCCAATGGAGGGGAATGTTGTCGCCGCGAAATTGCTCCTGTTAGTGGTCCAGGCTTGGGGACTTGGATCCGAGGGGTCAATCAGTGCAATTTGGGCGAGATGAGCTTACCGAAGCTCGTACCCCGCTATCACGGACTAGCAATCGGACGCCAATTTTTTGAAACAGGGATTCCAACCTTGTATTATGTATTACTCGCGATCTCCCAGTGCCTTCCTCCCCCAAGCAAAGCTATCGGAAGTCCCCCCCAGCCAGGCTCGCGATCAAAAGAGCAATCGTCATCCCCTTGAGATTTTCCCCTTCTAACTCCTCCACAACCAAAACCAACCCCACGAACGGGCAATCCGGGTCCGTCCTTTTTTGCGACGACCGTTTGATGAGAGTAATAGTCGACCGCAGCGCATTGCGCCTCTCGACTTAATCTCCATCATCATCACCATCACAAACACTGTCGTCTTTGCAATTTGTTTTTCTCATTTCTTTCTTTCAATCGAAGCGCGCTATCAGTTCTTTTCCGTCTCTTTTTCTTCTTTCTCTCTCTCTCTCTCTCTCTATCTCTGACTCTGGTCGCATACTGTCTGTCTGTCTGCCACTTTGCAGCCCAGACACGCCATCAGACTCAACGCTAGCCTCGCCCGCCCCGTTCATTGATTGCCCACGTCGACGCCCGCACCAACCAACTGACCAAAGATGGGCCTTCCGTAAGTCGTTTCCGCCCGCGCGCCACAACGCGCGCTTCATCGATTATCGCATGTTGTCGCGTCGCATCTGTCATCAAGATCTCGAAATCTCGTTACCTCGCATTTATTTCTCATTTTGAGCATTGCGCTCCTCAAAAAATCGCTCGATGCGACACCGAACCGCATAGCAGCTTTTTGCTGGCACCATGTGCTAACTTTGTCCTACCCAAGCCTTTTCCAGGCCCCTGTCGAGTCTGACATCTCCTCCAAGCCGGCACTCAAGAACCCTGCAGACCCCGCGACTGCGCGATCACCCATCCGTCGTACTGATCGACGACGCGTTCATGAGATTCGTGCGCATCGCCTCCAATTGCTTCACGTCTTGCAGGGTAATGACATTGGCGCCTCTGACACCGCCAGCAATACGGAGCGCGACCGTGTGCCGTCTGCACCCCGATCGCGACCAGCTGAGGTCGCCAGACCGTCTGTTCGTGTGCGCCGCAATGACATCTGGAACGACCCTGCTTTCGACCACGAGTCCATAAGAGAATGGGACACGCGTTTAGCCAGCCAGCCAGGTCCGGCTGAGCGTATCAGCCCGCCGTATCCTTCCATTTCTTCTCTTCCCGATCCTCACTCATCACTATTTGCCGAGGATGGTTTACTGCGCGTGCAAGGAAACGCTTACTATGACATGGCTCGCGCGGGATCGCATCGATATGATGATCACAGTCGCTCTGTAAGCCGGGAGCGATCTGCGCCCCGCCGCTCGGTAAGAAGTCCCCTTCTGCATCATGGAAACCGAAGCTGACTTGATCAATCTAGCGTGAACCATCACAAGCTTCGGGGCGGCCACCATTCCCACCGTTTTCGTCGTTTGGCCGTCGTAGTAGTTTTGATTCCACGACTCCTGTGCATCTGAGGAGCGAAAATGGTGACAGAAGCCCAGACAGCAGCGCCTTGCGCCGAATTCTGGGGGTGTCTGTGCCTGCTTTCACACCGAGGTCACACCGGGGCTACCGCCGCTATTCCAGGCATTTGAGCGGAATTAGCGACCGAGGTCGTGGCTCTGGTAGACATCTTGATGGCTCTGGCGACCGCGACCGCGACCGTAGCTATGATCGAGACCTCGGCGGGCTTGGTGATCGGGAGCGTAGTCCAGAGGATGACAGTGCCTGGGATACTCTGCAATCTTCTATCACTCCTGATCCACATGCGCCGAGCGTTGGTTCCTCGTTTGCGTCCACGACTGTTTCTGCTGCTGCATCTCATACTACTGGAAATTCGTCCAACACGTCAATCACTAACCCGGAAGATGGCATTGAACCACCATGCGATCCAGTCGACCAGGATGCCAACAGTGATAACGAAGATGACACAGAAGCAGAATTACGAACTGAAATCCTTTACAGACAGGCGACGCCACACAGTGGACGTCGTCCCTTCATTGATGGGGTTACAGACGCGCACAACTCTGCAGACGAGGACAGCACTGATAATCTTGAGTGGTTGTCACAGATGCAAAGCATCGTTCAAGGATTGGCTGCCCGACAGGACATTCCTGACCAGTGGTGGGCTGCGGTTGGTCTCACTCGATCCATGACTTCGGAATAATGATTTCAAGAACAGCGAAGCAAAAGTTGGGGCGGCGTACAGGTTGATTTGATGGAAGTGTCATGAAGTTTTTGGTTCGGTTTCAGGCGTTACGAGAAAAGCCACGATGAAGGATGTCATCGTGGCCAAATTTAAGGCAAAACTGCCGTGATGATGGCAAGGCAAACTTGTTTGTACGATACTCTATACGCCCTCGGGCATGTCTCATTTGGAAGACATGGCGACTGTTGTGGTGTGCTCGAATTCATGGAAGCGCCACGAGTGGGCGGACGTTCTACACTTGGAGCGTTGGTTTATATGTCGAAATAATTCAAAGCTCTCTGCAATGTCTAGTCACATAGCAGATATAAATCTATGCAGTATTTTGATACTGCTTTGTTTACCCTAGTCTTATCGCAGCTTGGCCAATCGGCACGCGAAAGTCAAGATCCGATGATGTTGCCATGCTGACTTGATCAGGTCGGTTATAAAGAAAGGCTGCAACCCAGCTGCTTATTATTGCACTTGGATCAGTCTGAATGATTGTAGGTAACCATTTAAGGGTCCTTGGTACGTGACACTGCTGAAGCTTATGGCTTGCTTGTCAGCTACTTCAAGGGACCTCGTACCTGGACCGTCCAAGCTGGGGTACCTTACCTTAGTGAACTTGGCTTACCTGTGGCTACCAGACTGTAGGTAGGTGTGGTCTCAGGCACAGATCAGATAGGTGCGTACCTCGCCGCGCAGTGCCGCTACACGTACAACCAGCAGCACTGCTTCTAGCGCATGCATTAAATTGAGGGCATGATCTACAGTTACTGTAGTGGTGTTTTGCTTGTTGCTTTTATGTGATCACCAAAGAGGATCCCAAAGGCTGTTGCACATGGAGACCCGAAGCAGGATCTAGATCCATGGGGCCGCCATTAGCAATCGGATCTCCAACGCGGCCGCTATTTGTATTCCTATGATCAAGGAACTGGCCATGCGAGCCCCGCGATTGGCACATGCATCAGCTATGGTATTACCTGGGATATGAAACAAATTGGTTGACAAGCGAAAGACAAGTGAAAGTGCCTGAAAGGCTTTGGCGGCGTTAATGCCCGCCTGCATGGGCTTGTTTGTGCTTTAGGTGCATGTTTAATTGTACCCACGGTAGCCACGGTTGCATGAATTGGGGTGACGGTTTCGCGGCACACTGCCCTTATTTATTTTTTAGTCGTTCCCTGATTTTCTTCAATCTTTTGGATCAAGGGAATGAGATGGGGAGAGAGTAGAGCGCAGAGAATATCCATTCATCCTCAACTTTTACATTCGCTTGAACCTTTTTTACTTCCTTGACGCCCGAACAGTCTCTTGGGTTATATCGAGGTAATCAATCGTTTCGCTGAAGGGATATTGCCTGGAGCCGGCACCTACAACGCCCAAAACTCCCCCACATTAGCTGCCAATTGTATGTATCGTTGTTCGCCAAAGGGCACCGCCAGGCACCTGCACCCCAGCTAGGCGCAGTCCGCGAGCCCAAAGCAATCAAACGGCCGCCCCGAACGTTCGTCACCTTGGGCGTTAGGAAGGAAGTGGAAAAGAGAGAGAGAGAGAGAGAGAGAGAGAGAGAGAGAAGTGAGCAAAACATTGCAGCCTTGCGAAAATACCACGTGCTGCTGTCGCCCAACCTACTCATGTGAGAGACGTCGAAAGAACCCGTGAAGAGGCACCGGAGGCCCGCAGAAGCAGCAGAAGAAGGAACAGAAGCAGAGAAGACGGACCAGGTTGAAACGAGAAAACAAATGATCCAGATTTCAACATCGAGCGCCCGTGCCTCGTCCCCCACACGCCCAGATACGATCTCGTAACGCGATTGGGGGCAAAACGTCAATACACAAAAAAAGACCCCCCCGGCTGGAAGGCGCTGGCACCGAATACAAATACGTACGTGGCTGTGAGCTGCCCACGAACCACCACCGGCCATGGCGCCCACCTCGGGCCACTCCTCGAACCACTCGACGTCGTCCAACGGAAGCAAGCAGGCTGTTGCAGCCGCCAGGCACGAACGAACGCCCGGGACGCCGAGAAAGGATAGCAGTAGTGGACGCGAGAGGGCGCTGCAGGATCCGGGCCTCAAAGACTACGTATGTGTTGTTCTCGGACGCAACAAGGAGGGAGGCGGCACCGAGACGGTCCCCTCCTCATACTGTCTCAGCAGGACACTTCGCTAATGTTGAGAATCTCGTATACAGCGTTTGGGAGAACCGCTGGGCAAGGGCGCCTTTGGAGCCGTCTACAAGGCAATTCACTGGGGAACTGGTGAAGCCGTCGCTGTCAAGCAAATCAAACTAGTGAACTTGCCCAAGAGCGAGCTGCGGATGATAGAGGTGCGCCGGCCAATGGCGAATGAGAAGCAACATTGTAAATCAGGATACTGACTTGGGGATAGGCTGAGATCGACTTGTTAAAGAACCTCCACGTATTTATACTCTGCATCACTTTTCGACGCCGAGAAATGGTGGGCTAACTGTGACTTTAGCATGACAACATCGTCAAATATATCGGCTTTGTCAAATCCACTGACTGCTTGAATATTATCCTCGAGTATGCCACTAGATCGAGGCTTGTTCATGATATCTGCTTACACGAGATAGATACTGCGAAAATGGATCTTTACATTCGATCTGCAAGTTGTACGGAAAATTCCCTGAGAACCTTGTGGGAATATATATGACTCAGGTCTTACAAGGCCTGCAATACTTGCACGACCAAGGTGTTATACATCGGGATATCAAAGGCGCCAATATCCTCACGACCAAGGATGGCAAAGTCAAGTTGGCAGATTTTGGTGTGTCGACGAGCACTCTCTCAGGGCCCGACAAGGAACATCAAGTAGTCGGAACTCCGTATTGGATGGCCCCAGAAATCATTGAATTGTCCGGTGCCACACCGGCCTCGGATATCTGGAGTCTGGGTTGTACCGTCATCGAGCTACTTCAAGGCAAGCCGCCATATCACCACTTACAGGCAATGCCCGCTCTGTTTGCTATAGTCAACGATGACCATCCTCCGCTGCCGGAAGGCGTTTCTTCGGTACGTAACACTTGCCGAATCCCATCAGCATAGAGCATGTTGGTACTTACTTTGAGACAGGCTGCTCGTGACTTTTTGATCCAGTGTTTCCAAAAAGATCCAAATCTTCGAGTAAGTGCAAAGAAGTTACTCAAACACAATTGGATTGTGGGTTGCCGCCGGAGTGACGCTCCTGTGGCCAAGGCACCTGGAAACTTCAGCCAGGCTGTTGAGGAGGTCAAACAATGGAACAAGGCACTGGACTCGGACTCACATTCCCATTTGCGTGCTTCAACGGGATCGAATCCCACCGAAGCTTTGCACCCTCGCTTAGGGCCTCGCTTTGCTGTACCAGAGCAGACAACGCGGCTCTCTACGCCTGCCAAAGGAATTCTGTCGTTGGCAAAACCGAGACCAATAGCGGAGGAATATCTTGCTCCTGAGCTTGACGGTAGGTTGACCACTGTTTGGGTCGGCTCTTGTTATCTGATCGAGCTGCTGTTCTTCGCGATCAGCACATACTGACCAGCGTGCAGATGATGATAACTGGGATAACGATTTCGTCACAGCCATTTCTCCTACTGCATTGCAACTTCCTCACATTAAGCCTCAGGATCATTTTGGGGGCTTACTCTCGACGGACAGAATCAAGCAATTCGCCACCAGCACTTCTTCGCGGGAAACCTCGGGCAATTGGGACGATTCAAATGTTGGCGAGATGATGACCATGAGAAAGAATAGCGTTCAGGAAGAGGACCCACAGGAGAAGACAATTCGACCACATTGGAAAATGCCCCCAAAGCCGCGAAAGTATTCCGAACCTGAGCCACAACCAAGGAGGAAATCATCGTCCACGCCCAGGAGGCGGCCTGCTACAAGCCATCAGAGACCAAAATCACAGGGCAAAGGACTGGAGGCCAAGTTCGAATTGCCATCGAGGCCGAATGCTCTTGCGTTTAGGGAACACTCCATTGAAGATTATTCCGACGTCTTTGGCAACGACGAACACGACCAATTCGTCTTTAATCAGAGGGTTGGTCAGATGAAGAAGGTTTGTATCTTCAGCCATCTTATGCCATGCAATATACTAATTGATACAGCCTGAATCCCCTCAGCTATTCCATCCTTCTGACCTCAAGAGCCTGCCACGGTCAACTTATACACCCCCTGGCGGAAGTCTTCGAAGACAGGCTGCCTCCCGGCCGTCGGTGCTTCCGGATCGACAGTTGCAAGGAACAAGTTCCAACATTGAAATCCAGCGATTTGCTGAAGATGAGGACGATGAAGACTTTTCAGACATGTTCGGGCCTACTGATAAAATTGTCGAAAAGCCCGAGAGTGACCGCGCCTCCGAAGCGGGCGGCTTGATGGTTCTTTCCAAGCTGTCTAATAACTCATGGCTGGGGGATGAGGAAGATGAAGACGACCCCTTTGCATCTATGGATCCCGGTTGGGACGAGATGGATTTTGAAGCAAACGTTGCCCGTGATCGGCATGCAAGACTTACCGAAAAGACCGAAGAGTTGGTCCGCTCCATCAAGACTATTGATGGAGAGGATAGATTGTCGGAGTTGTCGGAAGATTTGGTATGCTTCCCCTTTCGCAAAATGCCATGTCTCGAACATATTGCTAACAAGAATTCAAGTTGACGCTGTTATGGGAAAATGCCGAGGTCAAAGACCTGATTATCAGCGCCCATGGTCTTCTTCCAATTCTCGAATTGCTGGAACCGTGTACGATCAAGAGTCAGCAGCATATGATCCTGCAACTCTTGAAGGTGGTCAACACGGTAGGTTATGTCATTATAATATGGCCAGGTCACGATGCTTACTTTATCAAAGATTATCTTGGATGATGTCGAGCTTCAAGAGAACCTCTGTTTCGTCGGCGGAATCCCTATCATAACCAAATTTGCGGCAAGGCAATACTCGAACGAAATTCGGCTGGAGGCGGCTGCCTTTGTTCGCCAGATGTACACGACATCCACACTGACATTGCAAATGTTTGTCAGTGCTGGTGGTCTCAATGTTTTGGTCGAATTCCTCGACGAAGACTATGATGGCGCCCGTGACCTTGTCCTTATTGGCGTCAATGGTATCTGGAATGTATTTGAACTTCAGGGACCTACGCCTAAGAATGATTTTTGTCGGATTTTTGCCAGGAACAAGATTCTCGACCCATTGGCACTGGTACTACACAGGGTCTTGGACGAAGACGATGGAGATGAGCTAAAGGAGCTCGTTGAGGGCCGGATAGTGAATATCTTTTACCTGTTCTCGCAGGCTGAGAATTACGTAAAGGAGATGGTTGCAAACCGGCAGGTGCTCAAGAGTAAGTACAACTCGTTTTCATATGCTGTTACTACAGTACTGACACCTGCTTGATTAGGCGTTCTGAGAGATCTTCGAAGGATGACTCCGGCGCATCAAATCACCATGCTCAAATTCATCAAGAACTTGTCAATGTTGTCAACTACCCTTGACGCTCTCCACTCGGCCGACGCCATTGATGCACTCATTGACATCCTCGGCTTGAGCATGAAGAAGGGCCACCCACACTTTCGCGAAATCTGCAACCAAGTTCTCAACACCATGTTCAACCTCTGTCGTCTGAACAAGGACCGCCAAGAAGATGCCGCCGTCAACGGTATCATCCCATTGCTCATGAAGATTATGAAAACCGAGCGACCACCCAAGGAATTTGCGCTACCGATCCTCTGCGACATGGCGCATTCCGGCAGCAAGGGCAGGCGCTTTCTTTGGCAGAACAAGGGTCTGGACCTATATGTGTCTCTTCTTGCAGACCAGTATTGGCAGGCCACCGCCCTTGATGCCATTTTTGTGTGGTAAGTTTTGTATCTCCCCGAGCTCCTCTATGATAGAAAAGTATTGACAAGTCGCAGGCTTCAAGATGAGACTGCTCGGGTTGAAGACCATCTTATCAACGGCAACTTTACCGACGCCATTGTAGCTTGCTTCAATACCCATAAAGTCAATGCCTTTGATCCCAACCTTGTCGAGCCGCTTCTCAAATTGCTTCGTCTCAGTCCCTCCTTATCATCGTCACTGGCGAGGCCTGAGATGTTCTCGGGGATAGGACAAAAGCTAAACCACAAGAAGGCTGTGGTTCGACTAAACCTTCTCCGTCTTGTACGGAACATATTAGATGCCCGCGATACGGGATATCTCGATGGCCTACGGGACAGACACCTCCGATCACTGCTGGATGCAATTCAAATTCTTGCAGACAAGGACTCTGCGGTGCTAGTCCGGAACCTGGCTTCCGAATTAGTCAAGTCGCACATCAACGGTGAGCCAGATAGTGGCTTGCAACCACCACTTTCAATGCTGGCGCCGTCTTCGTCGTCTGGGCACAGCCGCCCTCGTTCGAGCGGCAGACGGATATATACACCCCCGTCTCATCATAGTTCCCAGTCAACACCTATGACGCCAACATCATCCCATCGGTCGTCACAGGCTGCTTATATCGAGGTCGCCGCATCTCCTAGGCGTAGGACAGCAGTCCCACAAGATCTCGAAACTACTGGATATAGACCACGCAGCCGTGATGGAGGTGGCTTCCCCATATCGGCTTTGCCACGTCGTGTCAGCACAGATCAAGGCGTCACCGCCGTTAATGCTGCGGGGGCAGTGACTAAGAGCAGGCTTCCAAGAAACTCCATAATCCATGCCTATCAGAATGGGAGCGAATCATCTTCTGCAAGGAGCAGAAGTGTACATCGTAACAGAGAAGATACTACTGGTGCAAGGTACGCGCAACATACACCAACAGGACATGGTGGCCAAGGGCATACTCGTGAGGGCTCTGGGGATGGGAAAACCAGACGAAGGCCAAGTGAAGCAAACGTAAGGAGATTCGCGTGAATCGTGGACTGGTTTCTTGGCAAGGGCACATGAAGCACGTCCGTGGATGGGACGTGATTCGCCCATAGATCAGGAGATAACCAGGTAATGCATCGATTCTCATGAAGGCCGCAATTGGCGAGGCGGAAATAACCAGGATGGTATATGTATATATCTCTCGGGTTTGGTGAAAAACAATGGACAGTTATCGAGCTTTAACTTGATCAACATTCCGATAGCTTCTTTCCAGCGCCAACCAGTTGTGCATCTATTGCAAAAGAGCGCTGGAAATGTCAATACACAACAACAGCAATGAAGGATATTTGTTATAGTCAATCTTGCTAGCGAGTCATGAAAAACGCACAATTGATTTCATACTTATTCACTTGGGTTTTAATTGGCGTGGGACGAGTGATTGCATGCAGTGTCCCTCTGTTTCCCACATAAATAGTTTGCACGAAGAAATAGGCTCGAAGTCTATAAACAGTCATGACGCCCTACCAAGGCCCGTTCCTGACTACTGGCTTGTCTGACAGCTAGACAGGCGATGAACAATATCGTGACGTCGATTGGCCCGCCTCATCCGCCTACTTTAATTTATAAGATGTTGGACAAATTTTCCATGCACCGGTGATTGTCAAGCTTGAAATTGCCAGTAACAACTAGCGATGGTTACACAATGATATCAAGAAAACCTGGAACACGGATACAACCATGAACTCGGCACAGAATAAAGTCATGCCTCCCGATGAAGTGGCCGGTCGAGCTCCGGCAGCAACAGCAGCAGGAGGGGCCCATGAGGACGACAGCAACAATGGCAGCAACACCAGCACCAGCAGCACCAGTTATTCCAGTACAGCCAGAGATGACGCTACCACTACTCGCGCCACTTCTTCAGCGGCTGGTGGTAGCAGCACATCATCATCTTCCTCTTCTGATGACGGCTCGTCGTCATCGTCGTCATCCCCCACATATCCGAGCGCCTCGACGGCCGCCGAGGCGAGGCTGATTGAACGCCATCGCCATGCCAATGGGTACACATCGCGGCGCGTGTCTGTTCGGGAGCGCGTTTCGCACTTCACTTGGGCTTGGTTTGAGTGCACCATGTCTACCGGTGCCGGTAAGTGTGAGATCTTGGGAAAGAAAAAAAGAAAGACATTTGTATGAATATTAATCTTGTTATAGTGGCTACATTACTGGGCCAGCAGCCTCATACTTTTCCCGGTCTTCAAACCATTGGCACCGTCTTCTTCATTCTCGATCTGGTCCTGTTTGTTGCATTCACCTGCCTCATCACTGCGCGCTTTGTCATGCACCCGGGCGCACTGCGATTGAGTCTTCATCATCCGCACGAGGTCTGTCATCTCGCCTTATGCTCCCCCTTTTGCTATCAATTGATGCTTCTTTCGCGCTGAATAGTACATGCTATCTGAGCTTCAGAAGCGAGTTCGTTGTATGCCTTCCCGAATAGTCAAGCTGAGTCTCATCTAGTCCTTTTACTTTGGTACTTTCTGGATATCCATCGCCCTGATCATATACGGTACCCAGGAGTATGGCGTACCCAATGCGGGTCCTTGGCTTGTCCGGGCGCTGGAGATTTTGTTCTGGTAAGTGTCATGCGAGGACTTATTTCATCTCTTGATCAAAGGAGGCTCGTCCAATCATCTGACGGATTTCCAAATAGGTGCGAGGCGGCTGGGGCGTTGCTCGTCGTCATCTTCCAGTACCACATTATTTTCGATGAAGAGGAGCTTCCCGTCAAGGATGCAATGCCTACCTGGCTCCTCCCGGCCTACCCTTTTCTCGTCTTGGGCCCTCTTGCCGCTGTTCTCGAGTCTTCTCAGCCGCTGCCCTCGGCCACGTCTGTATTCATTGGCGGGCTGGTGTTTGAGGGACTCGGCTGGAGTGTTGCTTTCATCATGGTAAGTATGAGCCGTGGATCAAATAAAAAAGACAACAGCGGAAAGCGGCGACAACTCACCATGGAGTAGTACACGGTATACTTTACACGACTTATAAATAGCAAGCTGCCCACTGAAAGTAAGAGGCCAGGAATGTTTGTGGCCGTCGGCCCAGCAGGTAAGAGGATCATCATCTCCCACCATACTCGAAAAGCATAATTCTTACACAAGTCATACCTAGGCTACACCTCGAGCACACTGGCAGCCTTGGGCATGCAGGCTCCGAGGGTGATTCCGGCCGACTATCTAGGTCTATCAGTACCGACTGGCGAGCTGTGGAAGGCCATGGCCGTGCCGGCCGCCATGTTTGTGTGGCTGGTGGGCTTCTGGTTCTTTGCGCTGGCCGTGGTGTCGTGTCTCCGGGGTGCGCGGCGAATGTACTTTACCCTCAGCTGGTGGGCGTTTGTCTTTCCCAATGCCGGCCTCACCCTGGGCGCCATCATGATTGCCAATGCCATTAATTCGCCAGGCATCAAGTGGCTATGCAGTGCCGTCAGCGCCCTCATCGTCGCTGTCTGGCTTGGGGTGGCTGCCATGAATATCCGTGCCGTGTGGAAGCGACAGGTCCTATGGCCCGGCGCCGACGAGGATATGGAGGATTTAGAGGGCAGACTGGCTCATGATAAAGCGAGACATGATTGATGGAAAATGATTTGACGATTGACGAGGTCATGGCTGAAATGCATGGGCGTTCAAAAAGTTTGACGATAAGATAGACAACTCAAGAGCTTGTCATTCTCCAATATTCCGAAGACATGTTGTTTGATATTCCTATACTAACGACTGAACCAAAATGTAGTAACTTATTTGCTGCCCATGCTTTTGTGTAACCATGACCCTCCCTGAAATACCTACATTAACCCTTGAAAGACTTAAAATCGTCCGCCAGCGTGTCTCACACTGACACCTGGCTGCTAATGTAGGTACGATATGAGCCATTTGAACCCCTGGGCCCACTATGAGATAACCCCTCCAGAACCCCACCTATAACTATAGAAAACCCCTCCAATGCCAAGCCGGGAAGCCGAGGAATTACATTCACCTATCTACGTACTCTATTGCTTCTTGTCACCGTTTCGTCTTTGAACAAGTCTGCTTGCTGTATGTCACTTTGCATTTCAGCAATTCCATTCCTTTCGCAAATAGTCGGTCCTAGAAGAACATAATATGGCTACACCGAACCCGCTGGCCTCGGCCGACCCCGCGCCGAGCATCTCCAAGACCTCGCTCGCCATCACCAGCCTTCACGTCGACATCTACGGGCTCGCCGAGCTTGCGCCGGGCGCCGCCTCGGTCTCGTGTCTGTGGCTACACCACCCACGGCTGCGCGCCAAGGAAGACATGTCGACGATTGCCTCGCTGGCCATTGACGCCTGGAACCGCCAGCCAGGCGCGGCCTCGCGCGGCCTCATTGCCGCCGCCTGGGACCAGCGCAACCACGGCACCCGGCTCGTCTCGGAGATTGCCAACCACTCTTGGCGCCAGGGCAACAAGAACCACGCCCAGGACATGTTTGGAGTCATTTCGGGCATGGTGATTGACAATGGCCTGCTCATTGACTCTCTCGAGGGCTACATCTTTGGCAACGGCGAGCACAATGGCGCGGGGAGCGGCCCGCGGTCCGTCGACCAGCACCTCGCCCTCGGCGTCAGCCTCGGCGGCCACAGTGTCTGGCAGGCCATGTTTGCCGAGCCGCGCATCACGGCCGGCGTCGCCGTGATTGGATGCCCCGACTATGCCGCGCTGATTTCGGATCGTGCGAGAAAGTCCAAGCTGCAGACCTTTTCGGCGGCCGACGCCGGCGCTTCCTTCTTGGGCAGCGCCGACTTCCCGGCCGCTCTCGTCGGGGCTGTCGCCAAATACGACCCAAAGGGCATCCTGTTTGGAACGGGCGCCATCAGCTACCCTGCGCCCGAGCCCGAGCAGTCGCGGCTGCGACCTGTCCTCGACGCGCGCATCCGGGGCAAAAAGTTCCAGGTTCTGTCGGGCGGACAGGACAAACTGGTACCCTACGCCAAGTCGGAGCCGTTTCTGGACTTTTTCAAGAGTGCCGCGACGACTTGGTACAAGGGTGGGGATATCAGCGTCGAGGACAATGTCTACCCAGACGCGGGCCACGAGTTCAGTCCCCCGATGATGAAGGATGCCGTGCGATTCATTGTAGATGCGGTTGCGGGAGCCGGCAAGGGACAAGTTGCAGCTGCCAAGATTTGATTGCACCTAATATGAAGATATGAAAGTGATCTGATACACTATCCTTGGGAAATGCTAGAGTAGGCTCCAAGGCTGCTCGACTTTCGGGTCCAATACCTCAACGCCATCAACCAGTATAGTCTTGACACCGCTTCGTCCACGACTCTCGTCGGACAAGAAGAGGTCCTGGGGTACTCCCCACGGGTTTCTCTTCCTCCTCTTCCCCGCCAAGCTCGGCCCCGTGCCGTGGGGGTCCTCTTTCCATTCGGCCACGGCCTTCATGACGCCCTGGATGGCGGCCGCATTGCTCCCATCCAACATGCCCGGCGGGTCGACGCCGATAAAGTCGACGCGATCGAGCGGGTAGCCAATGGCGCCGCAGTGGCAGTCGACGAGGCGCTCGCGCTTGAAGGCGTGGCTGACTATGGTGATGCGCTCCGGCCACCAGGCCTTGTCGTCGTCGGCAGCGGTATGGCCGCGGCACTCTTGCCAGAACTTGACCAGGCAAAAGAGCACATTATAGTACGAGTCCAGCGCCCGGGACTCTGAGACGATGCGGCTTGTCTCGGACGGGTCCGACAAGATGCCAAAGTAGGAATTGGCAATGGCGAGGTTGTGGTAGCTCTCGGCCTCGCTGATCTTGGTCTCGTTGCGTGTGGGACCGCTGTACAAATGTGTTAGCCAATCAATAAAAAATGAATGCCCTTTAAATCAACATTTCAATAAAATGTTTGCTCCAGTCTATCATTTTTTGCCCTGCGTTGATATTTCACACTTGGGGTCCACGGGTTGACGAATTTCATAAGCTATTCCGTCCAGCTAAGTCTGGTGAGAGGCTTACCCGGAGAACATCAAAACTGCCTCCTTGTCTTGCTTCAGCGCTCGCAATCCCGCCTTGATGTGTTCAACAAAAGTGGGCGTCTCGCCCACTTGAAATGGCGCAATGAGCCATTCGCTTTCGTCGAGGCCCCGTCCTGGGCCACCAGCCCAAATCCCGTGACAGCAGACTATTATTAGCTTTGTAGGTGACATATTGGTGTGGTGCGAAACTCGTATTGCAATGTCGAGTATAGTATGGTGGAAAGGTTAATAGACAAGTCAACGTGGCGGAGCGAAAAGAGATGCCCGCCAGTGTGGAGTCTGATGTGATTGGCTACTGACCATGCATACTACAGTCCTTGATCATTGCACACCAACAATATATTGGCAGGACGTAAAGAACAAACATAATGGTTAAATCACCAAGATCGCTAGCCGGGAGTAGAGGGCCACTGCAAATTGAATCGTCCATATAGTTATTCTTTAGATCTCTGCACAATGTACAGGAATAGAACCAAAACCCCTCCACAAGTCCTTCCCCATCCTTCATTTAGTGATGGAACTATCCGGCCAATGCTTTCATTTCCTCATGGCCCTATTCTTCTATTGGATCTTCATCAAAATCAGGCAGCTCTCTGATATTCGCCCTATCATCTGACCATTTCTTCTTCTTTGAGCGTCTACCAGTTGTGGTGCGTCGCTGGCCACGACTCCCGGTGATTGCAGATTGACTCGGAATATCCTTCGGCTTTATTCCGGATCTTGCCAGCTTGCCAACAAATGTCCGTGGTGCTGCAAATCTAAATATCTGTTGAGATATCTCGGAGACCGTGGACCCGTCAACGGTGGCCTCATTTGACTTTGGTGAGTCTGTGGGTGGTACACCGGACCCAGATGATACATCCACAGGTATTGGCGATGTGGTGAATCTTGTGTCATCTGAAACATTGGTTGGGGGTGTGACAAGATCCTCTTCCATTTCTCCCTGATGCCGGATTGGTGGCATTTGTTCTGGAGATGGAGAACCTATTATTGCAAAACGACTTGTCGTTGCAGAGTTACTTGATGCTTCTTCAGAACCTCTCTGTGCGCTGATTGACTGGTTGGAAGTTTGTGGTGCTTCAACTTCATAATTAATATCTCCACCAAATGCAATCTTAGCCGCTTTCTGAGGTGTCCTTGGTAAAGCCAAGTCCCTGGCAGCTTCATGTAGAGCCTCTCGAAACACTTCTGCATGTGAGTCGACCTCGCAATCCCCAAAGACAAACTTCATCCAAGCATCATTATCGTCCGCTTCTGACTGATGAACTTTCCCATGAATTTTCGTAGATTTACTATTATCGCATGATTTAGCGTCTTTTGTACGATTGACCAAGCTGTTTGGATTGCCAGTCATTCCAGTGTGTCTTTGTTCGCTTGTTGGTGGATCGATAGATGAAATGACTTGTGGCGGCCGTTTGCAGGTTTTCGTAGCACCAGGCATCATACCATGCGATGCTTCAAAGGAAGGTATACCATGACTTGTAATGCTTTGGCTTGCTGCCGTTGAGAGAATCGATGGCTGGTTGACAGGCTGAAGGTAACCAGCTCGTCTGACTTCTTCTGAACTAGAATGCACAGGGGTTCCTTCAGAATCTCGGTGGTTCACTTGACTACTTTGTACTAATAGTTCACTGATGCCTGGGCTTATGTCTGGTCGATGTGGTGGACTTTCCAGGAGCGAAGAACCACGGGTCAATGGTATGCAGATATTCTCTGCTGGCATGATGTGCTCAAGCCAACGCATGTCAGCAGCAACTTCCGAGGGCGGCCAACGCTTTGGTCTTCCTATTTGTGCATGGACACTCACACTGTCATCCGATCTGAATGATGGGGACCATTGCAGGATTTTCGATGTATGTGCGCGTTGAGGGATGGGATGGTGAATCTTGGATGAGTCTTCATGCTTCGTCTGTATTGAACAAGAGGCATCGTCTGTCGAAATCATGGAGTAGCTGCACTCTCGGTCTCCCGAGCTTAATGACACTGATGATCCACGACGCGGTTCATTCTGGGCGTATCTTCGACTCCTGTTACGAGGCATTCTAAGTGCTTGCATCTGCTCTTCGCTTGACAACCAATCGGGAGAATCGGCAGTATTGGTGACGCTCTGACTCCCGATCCTGACTCGAATGGGCCCTAATGGTCTTTGTTGAAAGGTCTTGACGTGCTCGCTAGAGTAATTTCTGCTGGCTGAAAGTGTACGGTGTCCCCTCTGCTGGACGTCTAGGCTGTGCCTTGTAGTGTTTGGATCAATCTTGCTCCATCTTCGCCCGCTGGACATGCGGGTTTGTCCAGGCAAAACTAGATCTATTGGCTGTTGCATTTCGAGACCAGCCCAGTCTGGCTTTTCAAGAAGTCGGCGTCTCTTTTCATTAGCTTGTTCTTGGTTGAAAATCTCGGCCAAGGCAGGTCGTTTACGATTGCTAGCTTGGTATGCGCCCCAAGGACTGAGACTGGCGCTTTCTTGCCTCGCTTCACGAGTGTCATCTTGACCAAATGCCACATTCCGGATACGCCAGGGAGTCCGTGACTCATTGAAAGGTCGTCCATCACTTTGGAATGTATTCGTATCTTGCTGTTGAGAAGTAGACGGATCCGATTCGGCCCGAGCTTGGGGCTTGTGCGTATCATTGAGAAAAGATATTGCTACTGGACTTTGCCTGGCTTGGCCACTCAGCATTCTACTTCTCGCTCTGGCGAAATGCTGCTTTTGACGTCTGAGAACCTCGTTGTTGGCTCTTCCACGGGAGTGGCGTGCCAGATTGCCTTCTGTCCAGTTCATGGTGTCGATTTGCTGGAGTTCTGAGATGAAGCAAATGATGGTGGTTTATGAAATGAGAGATGCAGTCTGAAGGTACGTTGGCATATGGCACGCTTCGGTAGATTGGTCGTTATTCAGGTTGCGAGTTTATCGATCACCAGCTTTGTTGAACAGAACCATATAAAGATGGGCGTTTTGATGACTACCATACCAAAGGCATTTGCTACAATAGATGACAGTATCAATGACAATAAGCACTCTGGAGAAGAAATAAGTGGAGGATTTCATTACAATTTCCTTGTTTAATGTATCGACAGTGGTCAAAATAGAACACATCAAGGAATGTCAATTTCCAAATCTTCATTCAGCATCACTCAAGGTAACCACGACCCAGCAATTTGCACAAGACAGACTGAAAGGCAAGAAGGCAGAGGCAGGTACGTGACTTCGACATAGGCCTTGGTGTGAGAGCTAATGTACGTAGCTCCTAGCAAACATTGCCGTCAAGTACTCGATATGCCAAAAATGGGCAGAGATGGACCTCATACTAGCCCAAGAATATTGCAATCGGTTGTCACGAGAGTCATTAGATTGACTGAAGTCCAAGGTAGCTGTGTGTATGCAGTGAACGCCGATACAAAACTTATCGTGCTCCGGTTGGAGAGGCCGGTTTGGTGGTGGACAATACGGAGGTGTACGTTAGCGGTGGTCTAGGTATGCAGTACATAATACTTTTTATTCATAAATTGGAGAATCATCGTGGCTGCTCTCAGCGGACTTCCACCGCCGTGGCTGTCTGCTTGTGGGCCCAAATGCAGAACTGCACTTGGACTTTACGAGGGGCACACGCTGCGGGGTTAGGGTAGGTGGGGTGAGTGTCGAGCTCCTGCCGAGTGGGTGACGACATCGGAAGGGTCCCATCGGCTTCGCAAGGGCAGCGGTTGTGTGCCTCCGTACGACCATTCAGATTAGAAATAGACGATAATTAGTGCACGGTTTACGTGAACGACACCAAATATTGGTTGGGCTATATCTCGTCGAGGCAATCCGACATCTCTTGTACAAGAAGCGACGGCATATTCTTCTCATAGCTCTGGTGCTCCTTCATTATCACATCCTTCATTTTCCAGGCTCAGTGGCGCCAACATCACGCAATACCCATACATTAGAGCAGTCGCATTCATTTTCGTGCTGGAACGTCTTTCTGCTTTGTGATCTTTCCACGGCCAATATAATCCCATCATATTACATTATATAGTGGAAAAGCACCACTATTGCCAGCCATGGGCTCCATAGACACCAAAGAACGCGGCATTCGCATTGCGATCGACCGGGGCGGTACCTTTACCGACTGCGTTGGTACCTTCAACGGCGAAGATGTAGTGATCAAGCTCCTTTCTGAAGATCCCGCAAATTACGATGATGCGCCCCTCGAGGGAATCCGCCGCATCATGAGCCACTTCCTGGACCGCGACATTCCGCGCGGCGAGCCTCTCGATACCTCCAAGATTGACAGCATACGGATGGGAACAACGGTAGCCACAAATGCTCTGCTAGAGCGCAAAGGCGAGAGGATAGCTCTGGTAGTGACCGAAGGGTTCAAAGACTGCCTGTCCATTGGCAACCAAAGCCGACCCAAGATTTTCGACCTCGCCATCCGGAAACCAGACGTTCTGTACGAGCAGGTTGTCGAGGTCGATGAGAGAGTTACACTGGAAGACTATGCAGAAGATCCCGAGCGAACTCAGTCCAAAGCACAGGCAAAGACGGGAGAAGAGGGCGCGGACAAGGCAACCCTGGTCACGGGCTTGTCTGGTGAGACAGTTCGCGTCCTCAAGAGGCCAGAGGACGAAGGCATCAGAACACAGCTCCAAGGAGTCTATGACAAAGGCATCAGGAGTATAGCTGTGTGTTTGATGCATGGCTACACCTTCCCAGATCACGAGGCTCTTGTTGGCCGCATTGCAAGAGAGATTGGCTTTGAGCACATCTCGTTGAGTCATGAGCTTATGCCCATGATCAAGCTCGTTTCAAGAGCTACCAGTGTCTGCGCTGATGCATACTTGACACCAGCCATCAAGAAATATATTCAGGGATTCCAAAAAGGCTTCGAGGGTGGGCTGGGTACCCGGAGCGTGGCGGACGAAAAGGGCAGCAAGGGAGCGCGTTGCGAGTTTATGCAAAGCGATGGTGGACTGGTCGATGTTGACCGATTCACTGGTTTGAAAGCTATCTTATCTGGCCCGGCTGGTGGTGTAGTCGGATACGCAATCACCAGTTACGACGAGAAGACCAAAACCCCCGTCATTGGCTTTGATAGTGAGTTTTCTCTCTTTTACCCGATTTAGAGACGGTGCTAATTTCATTTACAGTGGGTGGTACATCAACAGACGTTTCGCGGTTTGGCGAGGGACGATACGAGCACGTCTTCGAGACTACTACCGCCGGTGTCACCATACAGTCCCCGCAATTGGATATCAACACTGTTGCTGCAGGTGGCGGAAGTAGACTTTTCTTCAAGAATGGTCTCTTCGTTGTTGGTCCAGAGTCTGCTGGTGCTCACCCAGGCCCCGCTTGCTATCGAAAGGGAGGACCGGCAACTGTGACTGATGCCAACCTTTTCCTAGGACGCCTTCTACCTGAATTCTTCCCAAAGATATTTGGAAAGAATGAGGATGAGGGGCTCGATCCAGAAGCCAGCAAAAAGGTGATTCAAGAGCTTGCAGATCAAATCAACAAGGAGACCGGCAAGAACATGAGCTTGGACGAGGTGGCATATGGCTTCCTGACTGTCGCAAATGAGTCCATGACAAGACCAATCAGATCCATCACCGAGGCAAAGGGTCATGATTCGTCGAAACATAGACTTGCAACATTCGGTGGTGCTGGAGGACAGCATGCGGTCGCCATTGCAGAGGCACTTGGCATCCAGCAGATTCTTGTCCACCGATACTCGTCAGTCTTGTCAGCCTACGGAATGGCCCTGGCAGATGTGGTGGACGAACGCCAAGAACCTGATTCCAAAGTATGGGAAGACAAGGGCGACGCAGTAGAAGAGCTGAAGTCGAAAATGGAGAAGCTCAAGGACAAGTCCCGCCAGTCATTACAAGAGCAAGGCTTTGGTTCCGATGACATTGTCTTTGAGGAATACCTCAATATGAGGTACAGGGGCACAGAGTCAGCTCTCATGATCGTCAAGCCTACCCAGGGAGACGACATGGAAGAGTGGGACTTTGGCAAGGCTTTCGTGAAACACCACCGATACGAATTCGGATTCACGCTTGATGAGAGAGACATCATTGTTGATGATGTCAGAGTTCGTGGAATCGGCAAGAGTTTTAGGTACCAGGATAAGACTGTCGACGAGCAACTGATAGATGTGAAGCGTCAACAAGCCGAGGACAGCAAGGCTTATGGCAAGTCACATGTCTATTTCGACGGCGGCAGGCTCGAAACCCCCATCTATAAACTGGAGAATTTGAGTGTTGGCGACCAGATTCAGGGCCCAGCCATGCTGGCTGATGGCACGCAGACTATTGTCGTCACACCAGATGCAAAAGCAACCATTCTCAAGACTCACGTTGTCATCGACCTTGCGCGAGATACCAAGGAGTAAGTCTTCCAGTCACCATCGAAGCCACCATCGGTACACAGATGCTAACAATCTACCAGTTCGCAGAAGGACGACATGTCCAAGCGAGAGGTCGACCCAATCTTGCTCAGCATCTTTGGCCACAGATTCATGGCAATTGCTGAGCAAATGGGTCGCGCTCTGCAGAAGACTAGTGTGAGCACAAACGTGAAGGAAAGACTTGACTTTTCTTGTGCAATTTTTGACGCCTCCGGTGGACTGGTTGCCAATGCCCCCCATCTGCGTAAGTCTCCATTGTGTCTTCTCACATCCCAAATATGCTAACATGGCAACCTTGATCAGCTGTACATCTGGGATCAATGTCAACATGTGTGCGCACGCAAGCCAAAATATGGGAAGGCAAACTCAAGAAAGGCGACGTTATCATTTCAAACCACCCATCATATGGTGGCACCCACTTGCCCGATATTACCCTCCTCATGCCTGCTTTTAATGAGAAGGGAGACAAGATTCTCTTCTATGCGGCATCGCGTGCCCACCACGCTGACATTGGAGGTATCACCGCTGGCAGTATGCCGCCTCACTCCAGAGAGTTGTTCCAAGAAGGCGCAGCAATCAAGAGTGAAAAGATTGTAAGTGAAGGCAAGTTCAACGAGGAGCGAATCGTCGAACTTCTCTACAAGGAGCCAGCCAAGTACCCTGGTTGCAGTGGTACGAGATGTCTGGCAGACAACATCAATGATCTCCGTGCTCAGGTTTCCGCCAACCAAAAGGGTATCTCTCTGATTGAAGGTCTTATTGAAGAGTACGGCGAAGAGACAGTTCAGTTCTACATGGTCAACATCCAGAACAACGCCGAGAACTGCGTTCGACAGCTACTCAAGAAGGTTTCCAAGAAGTTTGAAGGAAAGGATCTTTCCGCAGTGGATTTCATGGACGACGGAAGTCCCATCCGCCTTCGGGTCACTATCGATTCAGAGAAAGGAGAGGCCATCTTTGACTTTGAAGGTACAGGGCCACAGGTCTACGGAAACGTCAACGCTCCAGAGGCGGTCACATACAGCGCCATCATCTACTGTTTGCGCTGCCTCATCTCTGAAGATATCCCGCTGAACCAAGGCTGTCTGAAGCCTATTCACGTCAAGATCCCGCCCAAGTCTTTGCTGTCACCGTCTGATGGTGCAGCAGTTGTTGGTGGCAACGTTCTCACGAGTCAGAGAGTGACGGATGTCATTTTCAAGGCGTTTGAAGCTTGTGCTGCTTCGCAAGGTGACTGCAACAACCTGACTTTTGGATTTGGTGGAAATGTCACTGGAGAGAAGGAGGTGAGGGGTTTTGGATATTACGAAACAATCGCCGGTGGTTCTGGTGCCGGTCCTGATTGGGAGGGTACCAGTGGTGTGCACACCCACATGACCAACACTCGCATCACGGACTCGGAGGTCTTTGAGAGACGATACCCCGTAATACTACGCGAGTTTTCTCTGCGTGAAGGCTCAGGAGGCAAGGGTCAACACAACGGTGGAGACGGTGTCATCCGCGACATTGAGTTCCGTATCCCTGTGCAAGTGTCCATTCTCAGCGAGCGAAGAGTATATCATCCATATGGACTTGCTGGTGGCGAGGACGCCGAGTGCGGCCTCAATGTCTGGGTAAGGCGTGTTCCCGTTAGTGACGCACAAAAGGCTGCAGGTGAAAGTGCAGAATTTGAGGAGAGACATATCAACATGGGCGCAAAGAACAGCGCACCATTCAGCGCAGGAGACAGGATTATCATCAACACACCTGGTGGTGGTGGCTGGGGCAAGGTCGGTGAGAAGAAGGTCCAGAGGTCACAAAAGGATCACACGGAGGCTTGGAGAAAGGGAAGCCATGCCAACAGAGAGGACGCCGCTCTACAAGTCTAAGAGCCCCGTCTTTGTTTTGGATAGATCTAGAAATCGTAAGAGCATCTTTGGCGTACTAGTTGACATGAAAGAGAACAGATGTTTAAATATTGATTTCAAACAGCGAAAGATGAGTCCCCCTCAGCATGCTATTCTTTCCCAAATTTTGTATTGTGAGAATTCGTATCGAAGTTCTCTGAAATTCTCTTCTTGTTTCATCAGACAGGCATGCCTAGTGTATTTGGTCGCAATTTTCTTTCATTGGTTTCCCCTCTCCCCTTTACTTGATCTCTATACGATGGCTAGATTCACAAACAATCCGTTTGTATATTAGAGTTGGGACGATATCCTTTTGGTTTGTTCGAGGGAGCTCGAAAGAATGGGCTTATCAGATGAAATGCAATCGCAAGGCTATAGTGGGAAGAACTGAAAGAAGGCAACTAAAGCAGGTCCCTAACCAAAATTCTGAAAAAGCTTTCTCAAGGTGTGCCGGGGTTGCTAGATTCTATGGTCATTTGACTTACTTCTCAAGGAGTCATTGTTCACAGGGAAGGACAATACAGAAAACAGCAGAGCCCTGGGTATTGGAAAGTACGAGTGATCGTTTCGACCTTCTCTTGACTTGATCGAGTCCTTCGGCTCTTTCTTCTTGATCGTGAAAGTATCGTGGAGTACTCCAAAAAGGAAAAAAAAGGCAGGCTCAAACCTTGATGTAGCCGCTGTTTCCGTTTAGTACTGTTGTTGTTGGTGATAAGCAGGTCGAGTTGGGGGATGTGCCGACTGGTCTCATGGATCAAGTTACGACTGCTGGCAGAATGGTAGCCAAACCAGCCGTTACAATGACGTAGAAACGGGAGTCGCAGATTCCTGTACGGATGCCGCAAATGGTGTCTTTTCCTCAAAACGAAAAAGGTAGGACAATTGCAGTGGAATCACCTCCCTTCCTCTCGGGTTGCAAAGAGTCGTGACTCCTATTCTAAAGCTGATGTAGCATCACTGTCACTCTTTCTTTCCCTCGAGATGATAGCTGCTCCATCGCCTATTTAAGTAGCTCGTGTTCCCCCCTTTTGTTTCCCAAACATTGACTCGCCCAACTCTTCGATCTCAAACCCTCCCAGAACGACTTGACATTACATCTTCAATCTTGAATTTATTTCATTGCACAAAAGACACTCAATTTTCACATAGATGGGCAACAAGTCATGTGCACCCATAGTTCAGCACACGCCATTCAGCAGTCCGCTCTCCCCACTGATTTCCCTACAGGAAATTTGCTCATTGGGCTTGATATTGGTTACTTGATTAGATTTTATTTGTCATTCGTTTCTTTTATTATTTCTTGTTACAATAGCTTCATTGGAGAAAGGCCGTACCGCCGGCTCTCTACGGATCCTAGTCGGGGACCACACTCGTGGAGTGGGACGAAAACGAGTACGACGCAGATGATGACAAACACAGCGCGTGGTCATGATTTGCCGCGATGCACGTCGAAAACCAAATCATTCCTCATTCCGTCAGATGAGTGCATTGTTGTTCTTATCAAACTTTTGGCAAGTCACAATCGGTAATGCGTGGTGAGTACCAATGTTTTCTCTCTCTCTCTCTCTCTCTCTCTCTCCTTCTTCTCCTTTTTCTCCTACAAATTTCTTGGTCCCTCTGTTATAAAGGCTAACCTCTTTTAGCCGCCCACAACACAGCCAATTCAGCTGACCAGACACTGGGACCAACAGGCTTGAAGTACTCGGAGAGAGGAGGAAGAGAGGGAAAAGTAGTGGCAGGAACAAACCGCCCAGTACAAGCGTGAGGATGTGGCAGAAAGGACGAGGAGGGGGTTTCTGCTGTCGAGCAGCCGGGGGTAAACAAGTCTTTGCTTTCACTTCTCTCCATTTGTCCGATGTTGGTAGCATTCAGCGTTTTGGCATTCAACTGGGTAGAGTGTGGCGTCGATACCTAATGCAGATCGTTCATAGACAGGTCGATCTCCTCAAATATGTACTTTGATAGATATAGACCATTTTCAATCCATGGTTCTGTGCTGCAATACTGGTCTTAGCAAGGCGTCACCATTCAGTCACGATCCTGATGAATTACAGCCATAAGTTGGGTTCATCATGAATTGCCCGCTCCCGAAAGTTTGAGTAGAACATGATGCATATTGCTTGAGGAGTATCTTCAATTTACTGTGTAGAGCTTGAAAACATCAACACTACAATATAGCTTCAATAGAATGTCGTGCCTAGTGGGCCGCATTTATTGGTCTTCCTGTAATGTGACATCCTCGGAGAAACTCCTCTTCTCGCTATTGGCTCTGATAGTATTCGCACGGCAAAACGTGACAGTGAATGCGATGGTGCATGTGGGAAATGAGATGGGAAAGGAATAATAGTGACTAAAATTGCGCACAAGTATCCCAACGCACTTCCCGATCGCACATGTCGAATGATCATGGCTTTTGGGCTTTCTAGCGATTTCTATGGCGTAGAAGAAACTCTGTTTGATTAACATATGCTGTCCGTTCGCCTTGCGATTATGACGGGCGCTCGTTGATCTGGGTCGACATACTGACAAGTTATTTTTACGTCAGATTTGGCCATATCCGAAACTTGAACTATTTAACTCATCCATTCCTTGGATCAGTATAAGTTGGCTCTATAATAGCTCATGGAACAGCAAAGAGTCCGTTGATTATCCTTGCCGGGGTCATCCTGGTTTCTCATGGCTCTCCTGGAGCAACTGTACTGCTATGCTCAAATGCGCCGGCCCGTAATGTGGCCCAGAATGGCCTTTGTTATTTCCTATTCGGTACCTAGACAAGAATCCAAGTAGCATAATCAACCTCCTGTACTTGGTAGTTTCGCCCTTCGATGATTGAGTGCCACAAAAATCCCTGGTTGAAAAGCGCCGCGATTTACCTGGAACAGTCCTTCTCGGCACAGCTTGCCCAGGATATGCGCCATTGCATCAACCGGGATGGCGGCTTGCGTGACCCGGATATGTGGAATGGATGACCGATGGTTCTTGTTGGAACTAGACTCCTTGTGTCTCCCAAGGTCACTGCTCGGAGCCAAGGGGAAAGTCGGGCAGGGGCCCCGTTCCGGCATTCTCGGAGGCTGACCGCCGTTGGGATTTTTTTGGGGCGGTTGGAGGTTCCAAGGTCACTGTTCTCTGGCCCGCCCACCCACCTTCAAGCTTTCCGAAACGACGGACACGGGAAACACTGACCACAAGAGCAACAATGCTTTGGAAAACCCGATTTCCTAAAGGAGGAAGAAACAAAAATCCAAGGTTGAGTCAATGACGATCGCTCCTATGGTGGGCCCTGAATGAATTATGCGGATACATCCAGAATTATAAGAAGCCCCATGGGAACACTCCATCCCGGCACTGAGGATATACAGCATCCCTCTTCACCGTGATTACCAGTAAATTAGGCTCCTCAAAGACTAAATTTTGCCATTACAGTGTATCTTGGTTCGAAATGCACTCTTCACACATTCTCAGCTTGTTCGCCTCGTCGACCCTCTTTGCGGCAGTGAATGCTGCAAGTGGCACTGGCACGACGACGAGGTACTGGGATTGTTGCAAACCCAGCTGTGCGGTATGTCAAACAAGTCATTGTATAATTCCATATTGTTGGAATTTACCAACCTTCTAATGCCTGATACTACCATGGTGGTTGTTGTGGCCATGAAAGGAGACCCTTGACAACCTCATCTCTTCATGTTCTCTTCATGTTCTCTTCCCTCGGGTGTGATTGAGGTTTTTCACCCCCCTTCACAGGAAAGAAACTAAGACGTATAAATAAATATCTAGTGGTCCGGCAAAGCATCCGTCAGTGCCCCAGTCGACACGTGCGACAAGAACGATAGCGTGCTTGCAGACGTGGACGCGAAATCCGGCTGCGATGGCGGCACCGCCTACACTTGCACGGACAACTCTCCCTGGGCCGTCAGCGACACGTTGGCGTATGGCTTCGCGGCCACGGCCATAAGCGGAGGTTCCGAGTCGACCTGGTGCTGTGCTTGCTACAAGTGAGTTTTGATTTTTCTGCCTACAAATGGCCGTGGGGATTACGAGGAGACTATTTGGGCTAACTTGACACCAGGCTTACCTTTACTTCTGGTGCCGTCTCTGGCAAGACGATGATTGTGCAGTCAACCAACACGGGTGGTGACCTCGGCTCCAATCAGTTTGATATCTTGATTCCCGGCGGTGGAGTGTAAGTACTAGCATCTTCATGTATTGACGGCAAGGAAAAGAAAAAGAGGACAAACGCTGACAAAAAGGCAATCCAGTGGCATCTTTGACGGATGTACCTCGGAATTTGGATCCGCTCTCCCCGGAGCCCAGTACGGAGGTGTCAGCTCCCGGTCCGACTGCGACTCGATGCCCTCCAGCCTCGTTGCCGGCTGCCAGTTCCGGTTCGACTGGTTCGAGGGCGCCGACAACCCCGGCGTCACCTTTGAGCAGGTGCAGTGCCCGACCGAGATTACAGCAAAGTCGGGCTGCACGCGTGACGATGACTCGTCTTTCCCCGCAGCATAAAATGATAATAGGTCCTGATGAGGGGAAAACCATGCATGCGGAGTTTGGACCGGGAGAAACCTGAAAAGTTCATTCACTTGTCCGGCCCAGGATGAGAGGACATCTGGGTCGGTTCCGGATGGTATCATTGAGAGATCTGAGAATCTAATGTACGGCTTACTCTTCAAGTACAATGGTTACAAGTGCATGTTGATGAAAAGAAAAATTCGTGTAGACCTTGAAGCTATTCGATATGAATGGGATTCATTATACAGATGACTACTCGCAGTATATCGTGCTAGCTCCTAAAGACCTGCTATCATAAATATGCTACCAAGTGCCTACCCATGCATAAGAATGCCTTAATGTATACATAGTATGCAGAGAAACTCCACTGAGAAGGGTACAAATAATGCCATGTGGCCAAAGAATAAGACGAATCATCTGACTCATGTACGCGTAATATTGGTGACGCACCGAGGTATAAATTCGTGATGTATTAGTATAATATAGTGTGGCGCTGCGTTGCACATGAATGCACTTGTTGCATATTTCCGACAGCTAGCATTAAGCAGCTCGCTGTGCATCACAGTACCATTCACAAGGACTGCTTTCGACCATACAAAACAAGGCAGTATGATTATCGATAGATAATACTAAATCGCCCATCAATGTCTAAAATCCCTCGTTGTTGTGTTTTTACTTGCCTGTGTTCTTGCCGCTGTAGCCTCAGTCTAATGAGAATTGCCCAACCATGAAAAAAGCGACCGACATCCGAGTCATGCAATACTGCTGGGTTGGCTGGCTGGGGGCGATGCACTTGCATACGCCAGCACGTAAGGGAGGGAGACGTAAGGGCACCTGCAGCAGGCAAGGCAGGTTGTTTGACAGGCCACACGCCGCAGCCCGCAGCCCCCAATCCAATCCATGGTTGCGTCAGCGCATCTGCTTCCCTCCCTTGGTACCTGCAGTAGTGCGAGATTTGGTGGCGTTTTGTTTCCTCCCTCCCTCCCTCCCTCCCATCTCTCTTTCTTCTCACGCGCGATCCTCCATTCACGGTCAACCCTCGATTCAATCTGCAAATGGTCTGGTGGAGGCCCGTCTCTTGCACTGCCAACAAATAAGGTAGGAAGGAAAAAAAAAAAAGCGTCATAACAGCCCCCCCAGCAGCCCAGCATACGGAAAACTGATTTTGACGCGGCTTGATGGTTTGTTTCAAGAAATAGTAGTGCAACATATTGGCTCCCGAGACAAATCATTCGTTTACCTCTTTGCCGATCGTTTCTCCGCCGGCTGGCTTGCGACCATGTTTCACGGCACGGGAGAGACCAAACTTTATGGAACCGAGGAAACGTGCTAAACCGGCAATCTTGGAGGATCTTTCTAGAATCCAGGTGTTTGTTTCTCGAATCATGTAATTTTGGTTACGTCTCCTCAGGTTCTCGTGAGACATATCATCTATAATTAGAGTACTGATATACGCTCCCCCCTCTTTCCTTGATGAGGCGAGGTAATGTCTGTCTACACAAGCACGATCACACTTTTTTTCACAGCCCACCTTTGGAGTGATGCTAGTCTCTTAGGTGCCTAATGGGCGGCATCGTTGAGGCAGTGAGCCCAATGTATGTTATGTTTGCTTGCATTATTAAGGCGAAGAACACAATTGCCACTACGAATGATTGCTGTTTGGAGCAGGCCCTTTTTGTCTTACATCACACAAAGACATGCAGCTGCCTGCTGCGTCTCTCTCTCGCCTCATATATACAGTGCCCACACATAGGTGGACTCAATGACATCACATTTTACGATTGGCGAGTTGAGGAGGGAACCGGTGGCTATTGTGCCGGACCAAAACTTGATCTTTGTTCCATGTTTGCTATGTACACAAGCAACATTGGTTTGAACTTGACCACAGACCAATAAAACATCCAGCGGGCATAGTAGACTCAAGTAAAAGGCTTCCTAAGGATTGTCGAAATTCACTTGCCCTTGATACTTTGGTACCCAGGCCAAAATCGAAGGGGCAAGCACATTATGGGTAACATGCAAGCTCTTGGGTGTAAGAGACGGATATGACTTGAGAAGGCGGAATAGGTGATTTGATTCTTGTCAAAAAAGTAGTCGTTGGTCTTTCCAAGCATGACCGAGGACGGCCTCCTCTTCTTGGCCCTATTCCATAACCTTCGGACCGCACAAGCAACTGTGAACCCTTCCGTGGGTTGAGATTGATGGTATCGTTTGTCCAAACACCGAGACAAGAAATTACAAGAATGAAATCCGACATCGCTGGGCCCAGTGACTCCAATGGTGCAATGCAGAATACCAGAGTGCCTAAAAAAATGACCACCCAGTCTAATCACCATACTCCTTCATAACATCCATACTGCTTCCCGTCCATTAGGTATTATCGACAAAGAAGATCGTAAGATAGACGCAAATACGATATGGCGATTACAGGAGAGCGGCGAAGAGACCAGCAGCTCCAGCAAGGGCGGCTCCGGACAGAGCAGCGGCCTTTCCGGCACCGGCGGTGGCAGGGACGGTGGAGGAGGCAGCGGCGGGGGAGGTGCTGGCGGAGGTGGCCTTGGAGGTGGTGTAGCCACCGGTGGGAGCAACACCAGTGCTGGTGGCAATGGTGCTGTTGGCCTGGGTGGTGGGGTAGAGAGGAGCAGAGCTGGGAGCAGTGCAAGTGCTGCAGATAACGCTGCTGGTGGTGTAGACGGGCTTGCTGATGGTGCAAGGGCAGTCAGAGATGGTCAGAGTGGTGGGCTATTTTGGGTTTGTTAGCATTCAGACTTTTTAACTCTCGGTTGGGTTACCCGTCGGGAACGGGACGGGCGGTATATATCGCCGGCAGGCTTTCTTACCTCAGTGACAGTGTAGGTCTTGCTGCCGTAGGTGAGCTCAGTAGCAGCCGGGCAGTAGGTGGTGTAGGCAGTGACGACCTCAGTAACGTAGGTGACGTTGCTGGCGGCGTAAGAGGCCTGGGCACCTGCGGCGAGGGCAGCGACAGCGGCAACGGTGAACTTCATTTTGACTGATTTGGTATTAAGAACTCGAAGAGTCGGAGGGTTATTAGGTTGCGGGTTGAGTAATTAGTTGTGCGGCGTAGGAACGAATGTAATTGACCGATAAGTCAGGTAGTGAACGCTGTGTGGGTGAGGAGAGAAGGGGAGGACAAGATTGCCATGTTTGGACGGAATAGATTTATATACAAACTAGGAGATGGGATAGCGCGCACCTGGGCAGGGCCCATTCAATACTGGGTCCTCCCCAATGGGTCATCAACAACCGTTCTGGGTCCCCCCCTCCCCTCGTTCTATTTTTTCGTCCACGTTATTTCGCCTCGCAGGTAACCCGGCCTCATGCAGGTCCCAGAGAATCTTGGCGCAGCGGTCTTTTTGGGTCTCCTCTTTTGGGGCGCTGATCTGTGCCAGCTGGCCAGCTGCAGGCTGCTCATTACGCTACTGATGTACGTACGTCCACAGATAGGGGGGGCTTCGCAAAGAGGTTCCTTTCTACTGCTTGGCTGTGCAGTCATGTTTGTTGTGTGAGTGGACATCACAACTTGCCAACCAAGACTAGAAAATCGAGACTCGGTGGGAGAGAGCCGGAAAGGGGCAAGGGCAACGGCGCGGCGTGATGAACATCCATGTCTTCGAGTTCGCTTCCTTGGCATAGTGATAGCATGTGCAATCATCTGAAATAGCTAGAGATTGGTAGTGCCGCAAGCGCTCTCTAGTTTAATAGCGGTTACCAGAACCTCAATCCGCCATAATGACTTACTATCTACTGCTATCACTATCACCATGGCGCTCGGGGGCGTTCGTTCGTTTGTTCGTTCATCTTTCGTTGGCAAGGGGCTGAAGGAGGACGCCCTAATGCCAGGTACCGCGGCAAGGATTCGGGACCAAGAACCCATGCACATACATAGTACAGCACAATTGGATGGACGGACACTGACAGGATGCATGTTGACTGGACTGGGGGGAGGGCATTGGGAAATTGCGGCGCCACTAGTTTACTCGTCCCAATGTCTGGAAGAAGCAATAGCTCGGCCACTGGACTGCCACAACTGTCCAATAACGGCTGTCACTGCGCAGTGCGCCGGCTGACCAGATGCGCGGGTGCTGTGCTGGGTTGTTGCCGGGTGTCAATTTCTGCAAAAACGTCGATGACATGCTGGCGACGTATTCCCGACGAATTTCCCGTGATTGGGGCTTTTGTCTGTTCATGCAACGAGGCTATGGCCGCCCTGACAACTTGGTATTTCAATACTACGTCTACATCTCCATAGTAGGCTTACCGACCTGCATTCTAGTAAAGGGTGAAAACAATCAGTGCTGTTATCTTGCTGTTGAAAATTCGTCTGATCTTGCAAAAGGACGAATCCTGGTGAGAGGAAGATAAGACGATCCCCATGGCTGAATTTTTAGTGCATTGTGGCACTTGCGGATGTAGTGGAGTTGGGGGCTCAAAGCTTTAAAGTTTCCCTGTCGTCAGACCTGTTAGGGCAGCGATCCAGTGCTGCACATAGCAGAGCTCGATTGCTCAGCGAATTTGTAGTAGTAATCAATCTTCTTGGCTTGTGAGGACTCATATCCAGCTCCAATTGGGCCAGGCTTAGTAAACATATCGTTTATGCCATGCCCTCGAACAATCAGATTCGGTTTGTCTGGTTTTCCCAAAGGCATATACGTAGATGTTTGGCTGGTGTCTCCTCAATCAAGCATCGACGTCAATTGTCCACTGATTGTCTGTCTGATCCCAGGCAAGCCAGAGCGAGCAAGGCAGGTTATCGGCAATATTGAAGCCTTTTTTGTGGTTCTGTTGAGCCTGGCCACGACGGTGGATACGACTCCATGCCTAGGTTGACCTGAACAGACAAAAGAGCGAACCGTGCAAGATCGTGGTTGTTGTTCATCCCTTGAATGTCAGGACCCGTCACCGATTAGCTTGACTTCTGAGCGCTTTTTTTGTGTTCCTTCTCCTGGCAGCTGGCAGACGCTCGTGGCTCGTTGCGTGGTTACTGTGACTCCAAGAAGGATTACGTACGGTACGTACATATCCCTGAATTTTGGCGAGATTGCGCTGCTTCTCTGTCTGGGGTTGATCTCCGGATAAGCTGTGGACTCTCGTCCTGGAAGAGCCCATGCTACCGATCAATCATACCACATGGGGCCAGAGTCTATGAATCTCGTATCAACTGATTGAGCCTGATAGCTGTGGTGATGGCGGTCAAGATTGTGTGGAATCCGACGGGCCGAAGTGGACATGAATTCCATTCCGCTATAGCAGTGCTAATAATTCTTTACTAAAAGTGATGAGGGCTTTGCTAATCTTGGAACAAACGTTTGTCTACACAGTAGTAGAATCTTGGCAGCTGCCTCGCCTATTCGCCAGGAACGAAAGACAGAATGATTGGAGTATACAAACAGTCTGTCGAGCCATTCAGTGTTTCTCACTTGGCCATTTGTATGCCTACTTATTTTGTTCTTGTCTAGATTAAGCAATCACAACCCGCCATCATTGCTGCAAGGGAGCCTCGTCCTTGCCGTTTTCATCGACACCTTTTTTTTTTTTCCCACCTCTTTCTCTCCCCCCATGACAGACTCGGTTGTCGGTCCAAATTCGAGCGATTTTCAAAGATTCCAACGCTCATCAATCGGTCGGCGAGGTTCTCGATGATCTGATCGTCAATCGCGCATCCCAGATATCAATCTCAGATCAGAGATCGAGGGCGAATACCAAGTACACAATACCCGCCTAGATGCTCAGCGGGCGACAGTTAGATCACGAAATTATTCGGATAAGCGCCAACGACGTGCTACAATCACTTTTTTGTTTTCAAATATAATCTCTACTCTGATTACATTTCAATAGTATACTTCTCCTACTGCAACTCGACGTCATCTTTCGTTTCGCGTGTCTTTCCGCTGTGTACAATTCTAGTCTTTCGCGATATCACCAATCCATCCTCGGAACTGTCGCCGGACGTCTAGCCCACGACTGGCCGGAGACCGACACCCGGTTAGATAGCTGCAATTTCCACAACCTTGAGCTACTGCCGGCTGCTATCAGTTTTGGCGCAAACGCGAAGATCATTGGCGCATCTTGTCGTGCAAGGAAGTCTGAGCATACGGAATACAATACTAGCAATAAAGCCCAGTGCAGAATGACAACGCGCTCTAGTAGAGTCGCGACTGGGCTGTCATCCCTGTTGCACTCGGTCGTGGTCCGGTCTAGCGAGCTGGATACCTGCTATCTACCAACGATATCCTACGGCTCTCCGAACTCGACAAGCACTTTCGACTGTCGTCAAATTTTTCGTCAAGTCTGGTATCGCATGACTGCTTGCCCGTCATCCTAACTCGACAAAGTAGCATGTACATTTGAAGTTGACACAACAACAACTCAGATGATATCCACACTCCAAAGGCTTGAGTGCATCAAGAGACGCCAAAATTACCGGAACGCGGCCTTCTTTTCGTGCAGCACATATCTGTCTGGTGGTGTGAACATCGAGTCATCTCGGGCCGGCGTCACTTACCGAAGTAATCATCTCGCAGCATCCGAGGCAGGCTGTTGACCAAGTCTCGTCGATGTCGATGTCGAAGACCATATACCTCGGAGCTGCTGGTTTCTTTGCATCGCTCAATCTGAGCTATTGCATACAAACTACGCCCAATGGTTCTGACACTCGCATGTAATGATGACAAGGTCGGCGTGGTTTGAGAGTTCAAGTGCATTTCTCGAGGACTTACCAGGCATAGGATGACGACTCTCTCGGATAGCGACGCTCATGCTGTTTACCGCCATGTCGACGATAAATTGAGAGTGGCTTTTGAACAAACGAGGATTTGAACCTCTTCAAACCATCATCGTCAAGTCAAAGCTCCGTCGCAAACTTTTTCGGTACAAGGTCCCGAACTTGCTATCGTTCTCAATATGTCAAAGACGAGAGAGTACCAAGTGCTTTACCGGCGCTTGCCATGGTGTCCGGTCGGCTGAAAAGAAAGAAGAAGAAAAAAAAACACATCGAATATTGCTAATACTAGGCCGGCGATGATGTCAACATGCATCACCTTCAAGGCCATTGCCCATCGGTTCAACTGGCGACGTAGTCGGCTTTGTCTCACTATGCCCATCTTTTATGGACGCCTGGCGCATACCGGCTGCAAGCACCGCATCCAGAAGTCATCAATGTGTCAAGAACATCACACCGTTGACTGCTGGCGGACGTGATATGCTGAGACCGGTCTTGCGTGAATCTTCATATGCACTATCCATAGGCAGACTCGCCAGCGCGTTGGGGGAGCGAAGCTGTTCCTGGTGCTAATCTTGAGTGTCCGTGTTGGCATACAAGAGCAGTGTCTCCGGAATCGGGCAAGAATCAGATAAGCAGCAGACAAGTTCTGTCAAATGATGGAGCAGTTCAGTCTTCGAAGTCGAAGCCAGGGACAAGTGCTCAACCATGGCGCTCGTGCGAACACATCCACTGTTGGGATGAGATGTGAGTTGTGAGAAGTTCTCATGTCCATACTCTTTTTTTTCTTTTCTTTTTTTTTTTTTTTGTGATTGGTAAGCACTGAGTACCAAACAACTTTCTATTGCGGCCCCTGCACGGCAAAGGGATAGGTTAGGATGGGGTATCCATGCTCCCATGTCGGTTATGCCTTTATCACATGTGTAATTGAATCCATACACGGTGGCAGCGAACTTTCCAACAGTCGGTGAGCTGTGTGAAAAGCGGCAATTTCTATTCCTCCGTGTGTTCCCCGTGGGGTCTCTGTGAGCATTGTCATTGACGAGCAGCTGACACCATGCGATATCCGTGAATTGGCCGGTCTGCCATCGAGGGCGGTCGTAGAGGAATTGACACACAAAGCATGAATTGATCATGAAGCCTAACCCGAGTCGGTAATCGTGTTGACGATAGAGGTTGAAGATCGACCTATAATTGATGCATGCACGGTCAAAAAGTGTCAGAAGCGACAAGTCCTCCGTTCCGGCGCAGCCTACCGACCGCGCATCTGGACCGACCGTCCCGGGCATTATTTCCAGACTCGGTAAACCGCTGCCCACCGGTGCCGGGCTCAATCCGATTAACGAGCTCATGCGCATCAAAGTTTATTATTATAACGGACAATTATTGTATATCCTACACCCACACACACACGCACATACACCATCTGATCTGACAGGCGGGATTATATGCGAGGCGACGTTGCAGTCTCTGGCACGTTAGCGAGTGCTACTTTGCGGCGCAATCCGACCATCCGCAAATGCTTTGCCTTTTCCAAAGCCCACCAGTTCGGGACAACTAGACGCTCCAGGCCGTTTCCAATGCCTGCCCACGAAGTATGTAGAGCGCTATCTCCTGGTTCGGCTCAAGGCTGTTCCCTAGCGTCGATATGATGGGGAATTTAGAGACATGTGGGCCAGCTACGGTTCTCTTAAGTTTGATGGCTAGTTGATGTCATTGCCGGCGCTACCGTAACACAAGAGCGGTTGTTCTTGATTCCGAGGTCCAATATACAAACACAACTACAGCCGCAACGTTGATATCCAGAGAAATTCTTTCTGTATCATCCAATACACAAACTTCTCATTCCTAGGCCAGGCAACATTTCCCCAGAGACGTGAACCATCATTACTGAGCATGTCTTCGACCATGAAAGCCGTCGGCAAGTCCAAAGCACACTCTTCAGCCAGCACCAGCACTGACTGACAATATCTATAGAGGTCAAGGGGGGTGCCGGTGGAGTTGACACACTCTTCATCAATGACCAGACCCCTGTTCCCAAGGCCAAGGACGGCGAAGCGCTGATCAAGATCAAGGCTTTCGGCCTGAACCGAATGGATCTGATCCAGCGTGAAGGAAAATATCCGCTGCCGCCGCAGGCCCCGACCACCCTCGGAGTCGAATTCTCTGGAACCATCTGCTCCTTCGGCCCCGGCTCTCACGGTGATTTCAAGGAGGGCGATGAGGTCTTTGGCCTGGCCTATGGTGGCGCCTATGCCGAATATATTGCCGTCAGCTCCAAGATGCTCTTGCACAAGCCGTCGTTCCTCTCGTGGGAGCAGGCCGCGGGGGTTCCCGAGACGTGGATCACGGCCACGCAGGCCCTCTACCTGGTAGGCCAGTTCACCAAGGGCAAGTCGGTGCTCTGGCACGCCGGCGCCAGCGGCGTCTCCATTTCCGGCATCCAGCTCAGCAAGGACAGCGGCGCCTCGGCCGTCTTTGCCACTGCGGGGTCTGATGAAAAGTGCGCCTTTATCGAGCGGGAACTCGGCGCCACAAAGGCCTTCAACTACAAGTCGACGCCCAACTGGGACGAGGAGATCCTCAAGGCCACTGGCGGCAAGGGTGTCGACATCATCATTGACTTTATTGGCGCCTCGTACTTTGAGCGTAACCTCAACGTGGCCGCCCGCGACGCGCACTGGGTTATGCTGGGCATGATGGGCGGCACCAAGCTCCAGGACGTTGATGTCGGCAAGCTTCTCTTCAAGCGCGTTCGCATCGAGGGCAGTACGCTGAGGTCGAGGGATCCCGAGTACCAGGGCAAGCTGAGGGACAAGCTGGCCGAATACATTCCAGACTTTGAATCAGGAAAGCTCAAGGTCCTCGTCGACACTGTACTGCCAATGGAGAAGATTCAGGACGCGCACCGCTTATTGGAAGCCAACAAGACGACGGGTAAGATTATTTGCACCATTGGTCAATCGTAGTGCAACAAGAATTTGGCAGCAGAACAACAATCATGCAGAGGAAATACCTCGTCGGGGCATACACATCAAGTTGCAGGTAACCAGTCTATGTGCATATCGATCAGGGGCAGAGACCCATACCTCTGGATACCTCTGGGTGCTTGATAGGGCTCTGGAATCCGAAAACGTAACAACATCCGTGCTTGATTGTTTAGGATCGAGATGGGCAAGAGACCCGCTTACATGAGCTGAATTAGCGCTCTGGTCATAGTAAAATCAAAATGCTATCAACAACCGTAACGCCTTCCCCTCACGCCCTGTGGTGTATTTGTACATCGCTCATGTCATGATGCTAGTGCTCTTTGATCCACTTCAACATCTGCTCGTAAGCCGTGACTTGCGCATCCTTGATGTGGGCATCTGCATAGTCACCGACCACTGCGAAGCCTGCAATGCGAATCAGTATGCCAATGAAGCGTGTAGAGGCTCGAGATTGATGGGATGATATCACTTACCATGGGGCACGCCTGGATAGACCTGAACCTCATGCTCGACGCCTTCCTTGCTCAGGGTGTCCTCGCCTGCCTTTCTCACCTCATCTGGGAACATTGGGTCGTTCTCTACGCAAACCAAGCTCACGGGCACCTTTAGACCGAAAAAGTCGTCTGGACTGACCAGCGTGGCATGCGCAAGTGCGCCAGCTTTGATATACGGGCCCTTGGAATTTGTCTTCCCGGCCTCCTCATCTTCTGGCTTGGGGGCACCGCCCCAACCCGACTGGATCTGCTGACGCTCGGCAGCCAAGAGGAGGACATAGCGAGCACCAAAACAATAGCCGACAGCATAAACCCCGTTACCAGCAGCAACAGCGTCGGCAAACTCGGCCTTGGCCGCGTCAATAACCTTTTCGAGAATGGGAAGGACCTTTTCTTCGGTGTGGCGTGCAAGCCACATGTCAATCATGAAGCTCTTGGCCGTCTCGGCCGCCTTGAGTTTGATCATGTCCAGGAACGAGGAGCCCCCGCTGCCATCTTGGGTCTGGCCCTCGGCCGATGAGGATTCTTCAAAGGTTTTGGAGTTTGGGGCCGGATCTCCTTCGAACAAGTCCGGCATCACTACAATATAGCCCTCTGAAGCGAACCGGTCGGACTGGATCTGGTTGTTGATAGACTTGAGACCCGTGCCGCCCGTCAGGTGCAGCAGGAGCTTTGCGGGCGAGGTCGGGTAGGAGGCTGGCTTGGTAACGTAGACCTAATACTTGGCCATCAGTAAGAACTCACAGAGTCCTGCGCAATGCGCGAGGGTAGCAGAAGCCAGAAAGGGGAAAAAGCTCACATCGATGCCACCAAGCTTGCGGATTTCGCCTTGCGGCTTCTCACCTTGGGCTAATTTGGGTATCCAGTTAGTATATGGACTGACAATGTTTGAAAGATATTGCCTCTCGTTTGGCTTTGCTTGGAAGGAGGGCAGTTCTCACGAGTCGGTCGGTCGGAGGTACAGTGCTCGCCCATCGTGGGCCCCGACTGAGCGGGAGTGTCGCCAGCGATCACGGGTCCCTCCTCCTGGTCCTCATGCGCATCGTTCTCGGGTGCCTTGGTGGCTACTTGGGGATCGTCTGCGGGCATGGTGAAATTGGTAGGTATGCACAAGGTAGCGTATCCTCCGGTTCTGCAGTGAGGCACGCGGGTCAAGGACTATGAGGGGAATGATTTCCAAGAGTGATAGGTAGGTAAGAAAGCAAAAGATGGTGACAACTTTTGGTGGATTTGAAACGGTGAAGACAGCTAAGCTTGGCACTTGATGCAGTACCTCAATGTCTCGAGTGTTACGTGTGTGTTCTGGACTCTGGAGTTGTAACGTGGGGTAATGAGGGGCGCTAGGGGACCCTGGCTACATTACGTAGGTGCCCCTAGAAGCGCTGAGCTGCCACTAATCGAGACAGAGATCGCAAATGCTGCCATTTATCAGATATTACTACAGTACTCATCAGGTTCTGCCTTCTCGATAAGGAGCATCACCAAGATATGCCAAACGCAATAATGCTGAGATAGTAGAACAAAGACATGATAACACAAGCAAGACTACATATTCATGTCTTCAAATTACAGTGGCCGCTAAGGTATGCTCGGAAACAATCGTGGCTGTCAATATAAACTTTACAGTTTAAGATACATCATCTGCCTGGAAAGGGATACTCGCTTCAGAAATTACTCAGAAGCAGTCAAGGCAATATTACCAGGACAGTCTATGGCCACACATGCATATATCTACCTTGATGTACTGGGAACTGAGGTATACATCGATGCTTGAATGCCCACGGAGTATATGGATCTGCGAAAGTCGACTGTCATATTTGGAATATAGTCAAAAGGTCAACATAACCGTTGAAACTAATCAACCTAATAATCGCCGTACGCAACCAAACTCGAAAGTCGATGTCAGTTTTGGCGCTCTAGTCGCTGAAGTATAACCCTGAATGCAACCTGAATACACCATCAAATCCCCGCGCTAGTACGTGGTAACCCATCAAACATAGTGCACAACGGGTGGGTACTTTTAGGTCCTGCTGCCTGTCTGTGGCAGCTGCCGCGTAATAAAAAAAAACCACTTTAGCGTTTGGGGCCCGTCGCGTCAAGTCGCGTCTCGTCTTGTTCGCCCACACTCTTTCAACCTGATCCATCTCATCAAAGTCAACATCAGACCGAGTTGTTGTATTTGGTTCCCTTCCCGTTTTACTTGCTCGAACACCAGTGCGCGCATACTTGCATACGAGGTAACAAGACTCACTCAAGATGTCGGCCTCAGACGCGCGACGAGCAATCACCGAGGGCGCCTTGGAGTAAGTTCCCACCACCCCGCCATCCTCCATCCTCCATCCAGTCTGGCAAGCAGCATCGCTGACAGTTTGCCTTCTCAGTGCCATCTTCGCCGATCAAGCCATCGCAAACGAGAGATTCCCCGTTCCAGTCCTTCAATGTCTCCAGATCAAGCCTCTGGCCGCAGGTCCAGCAGGTGGCAACAGTGCCGAGCGATACCGAGTTGTTCTCAGTGATGTTAGCAAATATGTCCAGTGCATGCTGGCAACCCGTATGTCCCGCCGAGAGGTTCCCGCGAACGAGAGAAGCGAAACTGACCATTTTTCAAGAGGCCAACCACGTTATACATGATGAAACGCTTGTTCGGGGATGCATCGTGCGTATCAAGTCATACCAGGCCAACTCAGTCAAGGGCAAGAAGTAGGTCTGACCCTGGTTTTACCATGGCCATCATACTGACACTGTTGGACTAGTATCCTCATTATTCTGGACCTGGAGGTTGCTGAAGAGTTGGGCGTCCACGAAAAAATCGGCGACCCTAAAGCCAATGCCGTAACCTCTGAAACCACTGAAACCACAATTGGTGGAACTGGTTTTTACGGCAAGAAGTCTGAGTCTGTGAAGCCTGAGCCGTCTGCTCCGATAAAATCGGAGCCCATGTCTTCTCGCTTTGGTGGCGGCGGCCCAGCAAAGCAGTCCAGTGCTGTCTCTACCAAAATCATGCCTATTGAGGCTCTTTCTCCTTATGCCAATAAGTGGACTATCAAAGCTAGAGTATCTTCCAAGTCCGACGTCAGGACCTGGCATAAGAACACGGGCGAGGGGAAACTCTTCTCAGTCAATTTGCTCGATGAGTCTGGCGAGATCAAGGCAACTGGATTCAACGACCAAGTTGATCAATTCTTCGATCTCTTGCAAGAGGGCCAGGTTTACTATATCAGCAATCCTTGCCGAGTCCAAATGGCCAAGAAGCAATTCACAAACCTGCCCAACGACTACGAATTGACCTTTGAGCGAGACACCGTCATTGAGAAGGCTGAGGACCAATCCAGTGTCCCCCAGGTTCGTTTCGACTTTGTCACCATTGAAGAACTCCAGGGCATCGAAAAGGACACCACCATTGACGTCATTGGAATTCTGAAAGAGGTTGGCGAGACGTCGCAAATCACATCCAAGAGCACCAGCAAGAGTTACGAGAAGCGCGAGCTCACTATTGTCGATGACTCCAACTTCTCTGTCCGCCTGACAATCTGGGGCAAGACTGCCAATGAGTTCATGACACCGGTGGAGTCGGTAGTAGCATTCAAGGGAGTTAAGGTGTCAGATTTTGGAGGAAAATCTCTTTCTCTGCTGTCATCTGGTAAAGTAACAGTCGACCCCGACATCTCGGAAGCCCATAGGCTCAAGGGATGGTACGACTCACAGGGTCGCCACGGAGATTTCACCACACATCAACACAGCAACACCCTTGGCAATGCGACAAATCGTGAAAATCAGATGAAGACCATTCAACAGATCAAGGACGAAAACCTGGGCATGGACGACAAGGTTGAATACTTCTCGCTCAAGGCAACAGTGGTTTACATCAAGCAGGAGACTTTCTGCTACCCTGCATGCCCTAACGAGGGCTGTAACAAGAAAGTGGTTGATCAAGGTGACGGCTGGCGATGCGAGAAGTGCGATGCCACTCATCCACAACCGCAGTACCGCTACATTATGCAAATCAACGTCAACGATCATACCGGACAGCTCTGGCTCAGTTGCTTCGACGACACAGGCCGTCAAATTATGGACATGTCTGCTGACCACGCCATGAATCTCCGTGAGACAGATGAGGCTTCGCTCACGGCAGCATTCGATCGAGCAAACTGCACCAAATTTACATTCAGAGTCCGTGCCAAGATGGATACCTACGGAGAGGTTTCAAGGTTCGTTTTTCTTCTTCGTCCTAACATGCTCCTGAAGGTGTGGGCGGATTGAGCGCGAAAACTAATTATAATACAGAGTACGATACCAGGTCATGAGTGCTTCGCCCATCGATTATGCAGGTGAGGCGAGGGCCTTGGCGGATATGATTAAGCAGTTTGGCATCTAGGCCTGGAGGGCATATTCCCCCATTTTAATGACTTGCAAGAGAGGAATGTGGCCTTAATTTGACAGACTTGTACATGATGACGAGGGCTATAGTGATGAATGACAACGATTGGCAATGCCGAGTATAACATGAGCGGAGAACAAAATCAATAGTCATATCGAGTACAAGGCAAAACTTTCGGTTTACACATACTGTGACAGTTGAACTGAACAGACGTGATTTATAATGTTATGATGGCCATGTATTATTGCATTGGTAGACGCAGACTAATTCGAGAATCTTGCTATTTTGAAGCATGCTTGTCTAGAGAAACATGGACGAGTACCGGGGCAGGCGTGCCATGATCATGAAGCGTGACGCCGTCTACCTAGATGTTTCATTGGAATGGCATGTATTCGGAAAAGCCAATCTTGACTTTAAAATCGGAGTTTGATTTCAGATTGCTGCGTCTTTCGTGATGGGCAATGGGCTTTATACGTAAAATGCCTATCATTGTGATGAATACATAGACAATTTCCGCTGCTGCTCGTCACGAACCTGATTTATAATTCAAGCCAAGAACAGAGGATTAATGTTACTTGTGAATATTTTCTGTATTCATGTCAATTCATGGTCTCATGATTCTAGTCGTCTAGACCATCTACGGAGCTTTACGCTCCTGAACAATGCTTTATAGTTCACATGTCTAACACCATTATCGTGTCATGCTGTAGGGGGGCATCCTTGCCGCAAACAGCAATCGCCAAGTACGGTAAGAAGAAAGCATACCACTCAGGCCTCCTCGTCCGCATGCTGATCTCGGATTCTTGAGGTAACCGCCTTCGTTCACAAGTACTACAGGTCGTTCAATGTTGGGCCATCTCCCATGAGATCCTCCTCGTCAAAGTTCTGGAGCATGTCCATCGCGGTGTCTCCTTCCTTATCCTGTCCACCCTTTTGGCGATCCCTAGAGAGTTGCTTAATATACTCTTTGCTGGTACCCAAGCGCTCATTGGTGGCCTTGAAAATGGGGTTTAGAGCATCGAGTCGTAAGGCAGTGTCAGCAAGCTCCCTAGCAAGCTGGTCTTCAGACAGAGCAGCGGTTGCCGGCAAAAACGTCAAATAGGCGGTGCCATCATCATTTTTCTCAATAACACCCTTCAGCATACCCGATATAATCATATTCTGGATGAGAGCTTCGACATCTTCATCGGTTGCCAAGATCTGGCCAGTTTGTGCGCTTTTAGTGAATTGGCGAATCTCGCGGACAGAAATCTTGGTGTAGATTTGTTGGAGATTCTTGATCTGCCATTCTTGGTATGCTGATAATACCTCACGCACCAGGCCGGTGTTACCATCAGCTAGCCACTCCTCCGTGCTGGCGTTTGATTTTTCCTTCAGCTCGGCTGCATTCTCTGTCTCGAAGACAGTGGCCAGCTCTTTATATAATTTTCCGAGTACACTATAGGCCTTGGTCGCAGCTGATCCAACAGAGATGGGCAGTGGGATCAAGCGACCGTGGCACAAGAGACTCACGAGAATCCACTTTTTGTAAGCATCAGTCATAATTTTGCTTACGCCATGATCTCGTGTTGGGTAGGTAATGACTCTCTCGAGCGCATTGAGTGCCTTGGGCCAGTCGCGACGTGAGCAATAAGCCATGCCACGGAGCAAGTCATACTCCAGGAGTGAGGGCGTCTTTAGAGCGGTCGAGAAGCCCTGGCTCTCGGTAACGAATGTCGCTGGAGACAACGAGGGGTCGGCCAAATACTTGGGCTTCTGGTGGTTGCCCATACCCGGATAGAATACGATGCTCTTGTCTATGACGCTGAGTGAGGGTTCGATGTTGTCAGTATTGTAGGCAAGTTTGATGAGATTGATGTGGTGTGAGGTCAGCATGCTGCCGGTCGGATCGATTCGCAGGATGGCGGTTGCTAGCACATTAACTGCCACGGAGGGCTATCAAACGAGTCAGCACAAGAACAGTAACGAATCTGGCAAGTCTTTGACGCACAGGCAAGGCTTGACCACTAGCAACAAGGGCAAGAAGTTGCGACATGTTTGAAGCGGCATATCTGATTTGAATTGGATCAAACGAAAGCAGAAAAGTCACCAGCTTCTGGGATAATGAGGCCTTGTCGCCTTGTAGGCTGGGAAGGAACAAATCGTGAAGAATTGCCAAGTAAGATAGAGAGTGTGTCGCAGGGTCGAGCAGGTTCAATAGCTCGGGTCCATGCGATCGGAGTGGTTTTGAAGAGTCAGAAGTCAACTTGGTAAGTTGACCCAGGTGCTCGTTTACTGCTTTCTCGTAGGAGGCATAGTCGCCGACATGCTCGGACGAGAAGCCGAAGCAGAGCGCGGCAATCTTGTCCATGGCTTTATCGCATGCGGGCAGAGCGTTTCGGTGTGTACGGATAAGTGGTGGTTAGTTTGAAGTGCTTGATGCTGTGAAAGGCCAAATGTGGTGATGATTTGGCTGGGTGTTTGTTTTATGCTTGGTGATGACAATCAACTGTCAGCCTTGAGCTCGGGAAGCTCCAGCTTCAGGTTAGCAGCCTGATGGCAGCGGCGGGCAACAAGAGTGGAGTGCTGAGCACGTTGGATCGCGGGGGCGGGGCTGTTCCGTGCACAGTCGCGCGCAGCTGACGACCAACTGAGAGCTCTGCATCACCAGACTCCAGATTACATTACCTCCTTGCCTGCCTGCATGCAATGAAGTCCAACTCATTTCATGTAAGCGAAGTCACTCATTTCGATTCCGTGATATTGTTTCCTAATTACTTTGTATTGAAAAGCGATATACACTTTCCTTCTATCCATTACGGTCATCCTACTCATTTACGTCCAAAGAGCTTCATCAAGCAAACTAGGGCAGACAGGGCAACACATTGACAACCTCTCATTGACTCCATCTATCACTTGTCGATTCACTACCCAATTATCTCGCAAATTGTTGAAGATCACCACTATTGAGTTTACGCACTCACTCACCCGCGTAGTCATTGAAATCCCTCATGACTTTGGTCCGGCGTCGTGCAAAGGCATTGTGGATATATGCAATTATAATAGTATTCTTTGCATTTTGCCTGTTCCTGGCCAGGAGATTTTTACCAAATTCGTCCTTCTCAAACATACTATTTGGTTCCGTATCGCATGGAGGCTGTAAAATTATCACAAAAGGCAATTACGACAAGCTCATTCTAAAAGGCGTGGTCTTGACGCCCAAGGGCCCTCTTCAGGATGGCTATGTCTTGGTTGAGTCCGGCAAAGTCGCCGAGGTAGGCACTAGCTACAGCTCAGAAAGCCAAGATACACTAATCACAGTCGTGGACTGTGCGAATTCTGTCATATCTCCAGGGTTCATCAACCTCCACGAGCATCTTACCTACTCCATCGTCAGCCCCTTCAAAGATCTCGGCGAGAGGGTGTCGCATCGCCACGACTGGCGCGTTGGAGCGAGAAACAGAACCATTCGGGAAGCGCTCGTTGCAGAAGACATGATTGGAGACTCTATCAAATGGGGGGAACTCCGTCACCTCTTCTCAGGCACCACTTCTGTCGTTGGAGGCGGAATGGTGACCGGATTGGTGCGCAATCTGGACTTTGCTTCAGGTCTGGAGGCTGGGCTCCTTGACGCACCTAGTGTTTGGGACGTATTCCCGCTTGACGATGCCGACGGTATCCTCAGGAACAACGACTGTGACTATGGTCCCGAGGCTATTGATCGCCAAAGGGCAGAGAAATATCACAGATACTTGGCACATGTCGGAGAAGGCGTGGATGATGAGGCTGCCAACGAATTTCGATGCTTATCCGACGAGACTTATGACAGCTTGCCAATGCCTGGTGGCGGCGGCCTAAGTACTGATATAATTGCCCCAAACCTTGCCATGGTACATGCCTGTAAGTATATTCTGGTGTCACACCTGACCTCAACTCGAGGGTCCTGTGGCAAGAACTCTCAGGCTCAGATGCTGCAAGAGGATTCTTGCCTTACATATCACACGCTGTGAACCAAAATGGCTAATTCGAGAGTTCAAGTGGGATTGAGTGCTAGCGATTTTGACCTTGTTGCAAAAAGAGGAGCGCATATCATTTGGTCACCCCGTTCCAACATGTTTCTCTACGGGAAGACTCTCAATATTACATATCTGCTGGAAGCCGGGATCAACGTTGCCCTAGGAACTGACTGGCTTCCTTCGGGCTCTGCAACGATGAGTCGGGAGGCTCATTGTGCTGCCTTGGCTACTCAGCAACTCTACGGGCGCCATCTTGAAGCCAAAACAATATGGGAAATGATGACGATTAATGCTGCAAGAGCTGCAAGTTTTGAGCAGCACATCGGATCTCTGGAAGTAGGAAAACTTGCAGACATTGTCATTTTCACAGAAAGCACAGGAGATGTGTATAGTCAGGCCGTCTTTGGCTCGACGGAGAACATCGAGATGGTTCTGCGTGGCGGTCGGGTTCTCCTTGTAGGCGACAAGCTCGGTGGTCTAAGTTCGAGCCATTGCGAGCCCGTACAAATTGGCCGGTCTCGAAAAGCTATTTGTATCGCTGATGAACTCGGATTGAGCTATGCAGAATTCGCAGCCTCTCTCGCGGGATTCTATCCAGCAGCGCTTCCCAGCATACCACCGTATGAACCTTTGTGCGATGCCATAGTATCGTGAGAGCATACCACGGATTATTATATTCGGAATAACAGGAAACTATTAGCTAGGCAGTTACTACGGAATGCTGGCATATTTTGGGTATATATACTTGGTGATTGCCCTCGGTACACTCAAGCAGAATAGTTCATATGCTATGGATGAACACTCATGAACCTCTTGTTCATTAACAAAGTACGGCGTCTGAAGATGATCCAAAAGCTTTGGAGTGATAGAGCGTTCAAATGGTGTAGTATTGTGTCGCCGTACTAGGTAGATTCTCGAGGCATAAGCAGCGCACATTTACACAATCACGATCAAGGTCTAGGGCTCTTTGTCTTTATCACGTCTACAGTTCATCCTCAAAAGCTGAAAGTAGGACTTGAAGATTACGCTATGAAGTAAAGAAACGTTCTCGAGATTTGTCCAAGCTCTCGAGGGCAGACAGTGACCAAGTCTCATTATACAATATGACCTTGGAGCCGACAATGACGTTTTAACGATTGTTTCACATTTCAAAACCTTATAGGGTATCTGACAGCGGCATTTGATGCAGATCACGCCGATCTTGATATGATATCGACTGGCGTTCCTGGTCGGTCGGTCCACACCAGACGCCTCACCAGGCGCAGTAACAACACACACTCTTCTGATGCCCAGACGCTTTCCAGATTTAACCCACGACTCCAACAGGAAAATACTTCACAGTACCAAACGTGATTATTTCTTATCCGGGACTTTAGATACTGCCAAGATCAGAGCAATAGCGACGGCCGGCATATACGAAACAATGCATGACCCCCAAAGCCCCCCTCTGGATACTATTGGCAAGCAGGTATCCAGGGTAGCCACGCAAAACCAAGTTCCAACATGACTTTTATTTCTTCCGTCCAATCAACTCGGCCTGTAATGGCATGACATCATGCTATAAAAGTGGTCATCGTGGGAATTCCCTCTAGCAACCGGGCGTCACGAACCCTTGCGTCGATCCTGAGTCTAGTGGAGAGAAGTACTCCAGGAGGAATAGCTTGGTTCAACGGCGGTTTTTTTTTTCCCCATCCAGGATTCACGCTTGAGCGTTTAATCCATGATTATTACTTTTTTCTTCTTCTCTAACACCATGAGAGCGGAGCCCTCGAGTTGAGGAGGGATATCGCTAACTGGAGATACCAAGGTCGGGGCATGGCTCCTGGCTTTTGACACTATTGAGCGCCCCTTACATAACCGTCGAACAAGCCATGGTAATGAACGTCTAGACCACAATGATGATATACACACAGGAACCACAGGAACCTTGCCCTGATATACCGGCATCTACCTCGTTTGTCGTTTGAACATGACGTAACCCCCATGATGGTGCCTATACTCGCTCGTGAGCTCTCCGAGCCCTCCTATAGGTTCCCAACTCTCTCATGGCTTGTTTTCTCTTCCCACTTTTTTCTTCCCATGGCAGGAGGATCTTCCCTTGGGGGCTGGTCACCTTTCCGACGACCGACAGCCACTCGCCAGGTTTTCCGAATAACGACACATCGTTTCCCTTCTCAGAATTCCTTCCCCCCTTGCCTTACACATACATGAGCCACGCCGCCGACCATAAGGCAAAGTAGCAGTACCAGGTGGGGGGAGAGAAGGGAAGGGGGTCCTTGGGGTGTGTATAATCATCATCACTCACATACACACACCCCTTCCAAGACAGGAACAACAATGGGAGACTCCTCTCTCACGGTCTGGATCAACAAAGGACTGTACACTAGAGCCCGAAAGGCCCCCATAGGTTGATCCCCCATCCTCCCCCAGCGACGTAGATGGCGTCACTGTATGCAATATCGAAGATCACGTCTTTCCCCCGCCCTCTTTTCCACCCCCTGTCTATCTCCTTCACCGGCTCTGTCTGTCTTTCTGGGGGGAGGAAGCCGTTGAATATCCGAAACGCCAACAGGCGAACGGGGGGGAGTGGGGAGATGGAGCTGCTGGAAGATGATCTAGTTCGGTACGCCGTTGCACCAAGGGGGAGAGACCGGCGTCCCGAAGGAAGCCACTCCCTTCCGGCCCGTTTGGTTTGAGCGGAGTACAAGAGGGAAAACGGATCCTCCGACCCGAGTCAGTCGGGGGCCCGTCGACCTACCATAAGTCGCCCGGGCCCGTTTTGTTATTTTTCGAAACGTTGTGGGGTCTTTGAATGGATCCTCTAGCATGAAACGATGTTGCACAGCTTTTCTTCTTCTCCTCCTCCTCCTCCTCCTGCCTTCGAGACCCGAAGCAAGCCGGTCCGGGACTTGTGTGTGTACAGGGGGCGGAAAAATAATGTACGTAGAATACTAGCATTATATCCATCGCCGAGGACGGAGGCGAACTTGACTTGGGTCCTTTTTCTCTCTTCCCCCGTGGGGTAGACAGTCTCCAGTGAGCGCCCGTTGGTGTTTCTTCTGCGCCCGTTGTGAAGTAATGCAAACATGTCGTGCATAGTATATTCATAACTACACGGCAGTGAAAAGGCGATTCCCCGTTGATCATTTCCCATGGAGGCTCAAGTTTGAGTCTCTAGAAGAGTAATAAAGCACACCGCGTAGCCATCCCATGTTGAGGTTGGTGTTGGGGGATTATACTCCTCGTTGGTAGGAGGAATATCCCGTTCACAAGGATTCGGTATTCAGTCTAGATAGTATCGGGTAACTTGTGGGCTATCAGAAATCCTACATGGGTAGTATGCATTCAAGTATAGTCGTCATATTGATATTGTAGTCTCTAGTTCTGACCACTCGACTTGATGGGGCCTCGTGGTATATGAATAGTGTTTGGTCGTTTCTTGGTATACACGAATCGAGCTATGCTGATGGAATCCAATGCCTGGCCGTGAGGTCCCAAGTTTCATCAACGCGCCAGTTTGCGGCTCTTTCCTTTTTTTTTTTGATTCCAAGATCATATAGTCAGCCAAGTGGCGCCGAAGAAAAGCAATAGCCCGTACGACTATGCTTTGCCGAATTACCTCCTCCTCACCCTCCCGCAGTCATGTCATCTCCCGTCATGAACCACCGAGACCTCTCGTAAGCTGTGTCTCTCCCCTATATCATCACAATGGCCTCATCGTCGACACGCAGTTACGTTATCAATCACGCCACATTCATGAAAAGTCACACATGAGGCCTCCACTGTACGTACCATATTTCTTTTGCTCGTGCTGGGCAAAAATATTTCCACAGTTCGCCATCATTGACTAGTTGCGAGTATAATTGGGAAAAAAACATAAAAACACCCCATTATCAAAGAGGAGAAAAAAAGCCACGAGGAAATTATACAAACTCAAGTGGTACCCGGGTCACGCGATAATAATAATGAAAAAACAAGCCTCGTGATGACAAGATCGTGACGTGACATGATCTTTTTTTCCATGTTCCCATCATGTGTAAACATTATTGTCGCACGCGCCTGGCCTTTAGTTTCCCTTTTCTTACAAACACTACAAAACTTTCAATCTTTTCGAACCTTTGGTTCGCAATACCATGCTCTCCTTGAACGTGGCCCCCTACTTTGTTATTTGAGTTGCAGTCGTGCGACACACGAGATGAAAAGACAGTTTTGCAAGAATGATCACTTGATTACTCAGGGCTGCCCAGGCAGACAAGTCTAGCGAAAGAATAAAAAAAAAAAAGAGGCTGCGGCGTGTTCACTCCGCAATAGACTCCAACCCCACGAAGTCAAAAAAGGCGCGTAGGGAGGGGACAAGAAGAAGAACTTCTGAACATATGAAACTCAAGTCTTTCATGTGGACATCAGGTGACACTCAAGCCATTCAAAGATGGTGACCTCCTTTAATTGTCTTTGCAGTATCCAAGTGCTCCGGCAAAGGAAATCTACTACTATATTGCACCTACACGAGAGAGAAAAAAAAAAGAAGAATACAGAAGATGTCATCGTTGTACACACTTTTGACCATCTCAGAGTTTCTTGAGCTTTCATCTTGATTTGCACTTGTCCTGTCTGTCCCTATGTCTCTCTCTCTCTCTATCTCTCCTTCACCTCGCGTGATCCCATCACGATTGCATCTACTTTTTGTTTTTATGGTCCATCACACCACCCCCGCCCATTTCAGCTTATCATTGAGTTGACTTGGCGCTGCAACCACCAAAGCGCCCCAGAAGAGCCAGTCGGAAAATAATACTGCTTTCAAGTATGACGACAGCTCTGTAGCCCCCAATGAGACATTTTAGAAAACTACGGTCTTTTCTTTGGTGAGGCGATGCTGCTGAACCTGAACAGACCCCGGACGAGCTGAGGTGAGGGCGAGGCGAAATGAGACAAGACCCCCGGGCGGGACGAGTGGGGGGAGGGAGGGGAGGGAGCCTTGCTGCCGTTTCCAGGTTGCAGACAGACCACGCGGAATGAAAATGCAAACAAATATTGGGGCCTGGGCATGGGCTTTTGTTATTCTGCATAAGTTATGTCATACTCTTCTTGACCAATTATGCGCCAGGCTTGTGCTCAGGTCCCGGCCGAGAGTGGGCCGGGATTTGCAAGAGATAACTGTAGTGTACAGAGAGAAGAAAGGGCAAGACGAGGAAGAGGACAGGGATGTGGTGACATGATTTCCGCGGAGGGGAATTTTTGGCACCCCACCCCTCCTCCCAGCCTCTGATCCTCTGATCAACCGCGCAATACCACCAACCATGTACACTACAGGCTACTGTGAACATAGTAGCTGTACATATGCGCCAGGACATCAAGGTTCGCAAAGCCCTCGCTGCTACCTGCTATGCTAATTAGTAGCCACTGCTACTATGCACTATACCCAACTGTGTACGGGGGGCGTCGGGGCATTGTTCTTCTTTGTTTTTGGCTCGAGTAGAGCAGAAGCCAATCGAAAATGGCAGCCAGTCAGCGAAGAGAGATTGGCAAGTCGCCTATTATTTTTCCTTGCCTCTCTCTGTTAGGGAAGTCTCTTTGCTTGCTTTTCCGAAAGCTAGGATGTGTCTTTCCGCCCTTTTCCCCCCATAGAGGGTACGGAAAGCTGCTGTACCCCCTCT